TTAAAGAAACCAGATAAGAAAACAGTCCTCCCGATTAAATCCCAATTACTGTACAATTATTGATTATTGTTGCATTGTTAAATAAATGATCATTATTGCTTGAAATTACCGACAATTCTGTTTCAGGTGTCTTTGTTACAAGTTATCGTGCAATAACAAAGATTAATCATTCACAATCGGTGGTATAAATCCACCAAAACGGACCTGCACCCTTTCTGAGCCTTGAGGTCGCTCTCGTCTAGAGAAGAGCTTTGGTTTGAGAGGATCATCTCCACGTGTGAGACTTGGTCTGAACAGACTTGGGTTGGCCCGGGAAGATCCCGCCACATTATCATGTACGTAACATTGCTTTTAATTGCAAAGCATCAGGCACAGCTGAGATCAATGCTGAAGATGCACAGGTTCACTGGCTGCATCGCTCAAATGTGAAATCTCTCAAAACATTGCCAGATTATCACAAATTCAGGATGATGTGTCGTTCCTGGCATCTCTGGAACAACTTGGTCAGTTTCCCATCATTGTCTTTGATGGCATCAGCTTTCGAAGGGCCACATCCAGCAACTATGATGCCGTCAGCAATGGTGAAGACACCATCAAGGCCACTGAGTGCTTCCAGAAGTTTGCGCTGGAAAATTTCACTGCTCACCTTTAGACCGAAAGGCAATCCGGCCCAGCGAAATCGGCCAAAAGGAGTTATCATGGTAGTGAGCTTGCTGGATTCGTCGTCTAGTCTGACGTGCCAAAAGTTTTATAAATCAACAATTATAACAACACAGCCAATTCTACCAACACCCATCACCCTTTTTTGGAAATTCTTTAATAATACTGCAATAACTGCCCGTAGAACATTTTAATAATGAACAAAACTAATGGATAGCACAGACTTGCAAACTTTAAGTTTGTTGTTGAGAATTTTGTTTTTCCAAGGCATAGTAGAAATGTCAATTTCGACCAAAGTGAAGGTCGGTGATGGTGGGCAGTTCTCAGCGAGCAGACAAGATTAGAAGTAGGTTGATTACTTGTGCTCTGCGTTTGCAAGTACAAGGCTGTTATAGCTGTACGTTGCTGACGCTATAAGAGTATAAAACTGTTCGAGCTGTACATTCTGTTGTACATTGCTTATGCTGTTGTACATTGCTGATGCACATTGCTGATGCTGTTGCACATTGGTGCCGTAAGCAGTAGGTTAAGGTTATATCCCGTATAAGAAAGGCCCCATAATATTATAATCAAACCACCACCCCAATTAATTCCAATTATTGTACTTTATTGATTATTGCCGAATAAATTGTATCGCTTGTGCCGACAAATCTGTTGTCAATGTGTCTATACACGTTATTGTGTAATTAGCAGAGAGTTAAAAATCAGTCACAATCAGCGGTACATGTATATATTTAATTCCTCCAAAAGGGACCTGCACCCTTAGCCTTGAGTTTACTCTGAGAAGAGGTCTCTCGTCTAGGGTAGAACCTTGGATTTAGAATATTGTCTTCACCCTACGTGTTCATCAAATAGACATTTGCCCACAAAACGGCTCACATTTTTAATCTATTCTGCGCGCGTCATAAGTATGAAAGAAAACATCATAAAGAAAAGAAAACAAAAGCCAATAAATATCTCTCTTTTTCCTTATCCTTGGCGTATTTCCTTGGTTTAAACTGATTTATATTCAGAATTTATTTGTCGTTATTCTTTGCTAATTTCTGCCAAATTTGATTTTATTTCCAACCGGACATTTCCGATGTAAAAAACAGTCAGACCTTTCCTTTTGAAAACAACGAGCGCGATATCGCCATGTTTTCAACAGAAACCTGTGGCAGCGCCATCACTTGGCCGATTTTCAACGGTTCAAACAGTAAAAGCAAGCTTAATGAATACCCTATCGCATTATCTAAACTTGCTGCTGATTGGTTGTAATTTAGAACGTGACTTATGCAATCCAATGATAACTAAGCTTCAGGGCTGCCAACTCTTATCACGCACTGAGCGTGAGACTCAAGCCCGGTTCATACTCTGCGCGAAAGCGAAAGCGAACGCGAATTTGTGACGTCGTGGCAGGTATTCGCGCTGCGAATTCGCAAAAGTTGAACATATTTCAACTCGCCCGAATTTCGCAGCGAATGTTTTATGACGTCAAATTCGCTTCGCATTCGCTTTCGCATGGAGTATGAACCAGGCGTTAAAGTTGAACATCTTTCAACTCCGGCGAATTTCGCAGCGAATGTTTTATGACGTCAAATTCGCTTCGCATTCGCTTTCGCATGAAGTATGAACCGGGCTTCACGCATTTCAGGTTGATCTCACTTTGTCAAGCGCATACGAGATTTCTTATCACGCAAAATAAATAAAACTCGAAAATTAATATGTGAAAATGACGATCTTTTGCTAAAAAAAAAAATGATTAAAGTGGTCAGAAATTGCCTAAAGCCCGGTTCATATTGATCGTGCGAATGCGAATGCGAAGCGAATTTGACGTCATGAAACATTCGCTGCGAAATTCGCCGAGTTGAAATGTGTTCAACTTTTACGAATTCGATCGCAGCGCGAATACTCCCATGATGTCACAAATTTGCGTTCGCTTTCGCTTTCGCGCAGAGTATGAACCGGGCTTTCAGCGGGCCCCGAACCCACGCCGTTTTCGCGCATGCAGCCCTGAAGCTTTGATCGTCACATAGCTAGCTATGCACGTACGCTTGCTGTACGCGGACAACTTGCGGCGAGACATAGGAGCCGCACTTGGCAGGCACGCGCACAACGCTGAGACTGGCTCATGAGTCACGACATGCACTGCTAGCTAGCTAGGGAGGGACTTTGCGGTACATGCCGTACCCGCCACGCCCTGTTGGGAGGGCTCCCTCGTCCGAGCTCCGCTTAACCACAAGGGCGTGATGTCACAATATTTTGTACAATGTTCAATCTGTATGATGAACAATATATTGTCACCAAAAAAATGCAATATATTTATTCTTCGTCAGTGCAACTTCCTCATTTATACATGTATTATACAAAATATCCAGAAGATTTCCGACTACGGGAAATGGGTCATTTGGGAGACGTTCCCATAGGCTTGTGCACATTAATGTTTCCATCTTTAATGTCACCTTACCCCAATTTTACCGTATCCTACCCCCATGAATTTTGGTACATTTATGGTTTGGACCATGAGCCTATATTTGCGACCATAAAATTTTGCCTCTAAATAGGAGCTGACATGAAAATGTCTCCCTAATGTCTGGCGTCTCCCTAAGGTATAATTAATGACGACAAAATGTCTCCCAAAAGGTACCATTAACAGGTATTCAATGGTTGTATAAAATGGATGAACAAAGTATCTGTAACACATTTTCCCCATGAATCAACAACGACAGTGTTTGAACTCTATTTAAACAGAAATTGAGTGCAGTAACATCAAAACTGTTTGAGCACTGAATCATTTCCAAAAACCACTGATATTCCAATAGAAGCCAGAGAGTATGTTTCGTGGAAAATGTCAGAAGTTTCAAATTTGTGATTATTAAAGCAAACATTACTATTTTTTCATTAAATACACCCAGACACTGAAGTACATTCACCTACAAAGAAATGACTTTAGGCATGAATTCTTTTCCATTCCACAGTTGAAATGTAGCCTGATTTTAGAACAATACATTACTGACATCACATTACCTCAGGTACATTACTAAACACTTTCATTTCAACTCGTCATTACTCGTCTACATTTGATGATAAACGACTAATGCAATTTTAATTTTAAAAAACCTGTAAAACCAAAATGCTATTTCCTTATTACCATTTTATATGCAACATTTGATACTCTTGAAGAAAGATATATTACATGTTGATAAAAAAAATTCTTATGAATGATTTCAAATACATGTTTCAGTTTAATTTTCTGTGCATGAGGCTATTTAATACAGCCATCACTATTGTTCGGAATTAAGTCCGCATCTGCATTGCAACTCACTTGTTAAAATACATGCAAGAGAGGCATAATGTTTACTTTAATTAAGAAAACAAAAATGGACAATGTAGAAACTAGATAGACTAATATAAAGCACATCTTAATGAGTTGCATTCTCCAGTAACTCTTAGCATTGCAATACTGCAAATGCTTATTTCCAAACTACAATTTGTGATGTAATCTGTTACCTTCCATGTTTTCAACCATTTCTCCTCTGTCAAATTCAAAACTGCTCTCTGTTTCCACGACGGACAATATTGGCTAAGAAACACGGTGTAGCATGTGATTCAACCATATACCAGTTTCGGTAGAATTTATCCTTGTGTTATCAATGGCAACAGGCCCCACATAATAAATGTCTTGACAACGAAAGGTTGAGTAGAAATTAAAAAATTCAATCAATACTACAGGGTGAGTCAAAAAAAGTGGAACCCAAACCCCCAAAATTATATTCTATATTTAAAAAAATATGTAGCACCAAACATAATGACGACTGGAAAGCCAATTTCATAAGGTACTTTTAGATGTAAAATGACTGAAATTGGTCAACCCGTTAAAAAAAAATCACCATTTAAACACAATGACCCTAAAACCTGTCTCGTCCAAAAAATGCGATTTCAAGAATCGTGGTCGCAATTGTCTTCAAACATCACCAGCGATAAAATCTCAGTTTAAACGTTAAAAATATTCAACAGGATTCCTTTGGAGACCCGTCCTTTATAAAAGTACATGTTATAAATCATATTGTTTGCCTAACCAGGGTTGTTAATAAAGATATTGTGTACTACGGTTGGTGACAGTTGTTGAAACAAGTATTCTGTGTCATTTTCTTTGTTGTTAAAAACAGTCAAATCACACAATGAATTGCCTTTTTTGGACGAGACAGGTTTAAGGGTCATTGTGTTTAAATGGTGATATTCTTTGAACGGATCGAGCAATTACAGTATTTTTTTCATCTAAAAGTAGCTTATGAAATTGGCTTTTCAGTCATTATTATTTTTGGTGCTACATACTTTTTAAAACATGAAATGTATTTTATGGGGTTTGGGTTCCGCCTTTTTTTTTACTCACCCTGTACAATGGCAAACAAATGCAAATAAGTGATCACTATGAACTTGTGCATTGAAACATGTCTGATGTATTTCTTTGCGTGGTCACTATACATGATTATAAAAATCATTGCATTAACATCACTGGGTTATTTGTGCCAGTTAAAATTAAAACTCATTTGTATGGAAATGCCATTGTAGCCTATATGTACAGAATATCCTATTGTTTATGTTCACTATTGGTCACTTTATGTCACATGATCGTGAAACTGTCACCTCATTCGACCTCCAGACATGGACGTTCTCTTGAATTCTGGGATCCACTGATCCAGGAACACTCTGCAAAATGGAGGGAAAAACAACGAAACAGATGATAACACTGGACTTGACAGACACATCATTGACGACAGTTTTTTCTCAAACTTTTGTCTGCACCCCGACGATTTTTTTTTTACTGGATTTTTAAAATCATAGTATGCGAATATCAAATAAATTGGTAATGTGAATGCAGTACTCTCTGTGCATGAGCACTAGCGTACATGGCAGCAATGCATTCAAGTTTCTCCTAAAGCCTGCCTCACACGACAGCTACGTGCTGAACAAAAAAGTAACTTGTCAAGGCCGTTTTCTCAGCAGGTACTCACAAAATATCCCAGTGTGCAGTGAATGTTTGTGGAGTTTTCTGCCTCCTATTTGATGTGTGGTCTACCTGAACTACGTGCTGAGCTAAAAGCTTAACTAGCCAATGAAATCAGGTTCTCTGTACACGTGATTTTAAGATATTTTTGTACAAATCTCCTAAAGCCTGCTGGTGTTTGTCCCCATTTCTTTAAATCACGCGACAGACTAACAAGAATAATTTGCTTTCATTGGCTAGTTAATCTTTTTGGCTCATCACGTATAGCTCGGGATGACCACACACGGTGAGTTTTTGGCCTCGCAAGGCAAAATAAATCCAAACAAGATAGATATTTGCCTCAAGGCCTCGCGAGGCAGAAAACCCAGCAAAAATTGACAGCACAAGATGATATATTGTGAGCTACGTGCTGAGCAAAGGGCCTCAAATGACTTTTTGCTCAGCACGTAACTCTCGTGTGCGGCTGGTTTTTGCAAAGAGTTCATAAAATAGTAGCTCAAATGAGTTGCAACCTACCTCGCCCTTTCGGCCATTTCGTTGCCACTCCATCGCGGACTGTAGGGATATTCCTTCACTATGGCTGATATCAGCTTACCATAAGTAGTCATGTTGTAAATAGACTGAAGCTCAAAGTGAGGCTGGTCGCGTGGGAAGAATGTCGGAATGGAAACTGAAAGTAACGAAGATAAATAATGCTCAGGTAGTAAATAAAGAAAGAAATCTGTTGGTTTGTTTGAATGTATGGTGCCAAGACACAATTAGCTAATCTGGTAAACATCATTAACATGTTACGAATAAGACACTTATCTTCCCTTTTTTTTCTGAACTGTCTTACATTAAACCGCATAAAGTCTGAAGAGTTACATTCGTGTTAAAGGGAAGATACAACATTTGCAAACATCAAAAAACGAAATGATCAAATTATCACGAAATACCTTACTGAATTGTTAGGGTTTGACATTCTAAAGCATCCTTTAAAATCGTGGTTCCTGGTGTGCTGACATTTTGAAGAAAAACTGTATTTTCCCAACGCTGGTCGGCCGACCAGCGTTGGAGAAAACTGACTTTTTTCCAACAACTGTTCCTAATTTTTCATATTTAGTTATTCTAACTTTTCTTTACAATTGATTACACACCTATGAAGGGGTACAAGCCTGCTAGACTGATTCCCTGACCTTACAATTCCCCAAAGTGAATTAATTGCTCCGTTTCATCGTAAGTGGGGTCCGGGAACCAGACTACAAGAACACGATAGGTTTTCTTGGTTTTTCCAGCATCTACAAGCCCAGAATGTGAAACAAGTCAGTTTAACAATATTTTGTCTAACATACTAATCCTCCAAATCCATTTGTTTCTGAAAATTCCAGCAAAAGCGAATGTTGTACATTCCCTTTAAACCTTTGCTTTTACTCACTGTGTAGGATACAGTAGAAGTCACTGTGATCCAGTAGTAATGAAATCCTGTTGAAAGTCTCTGCATCATATTCTAGTATCGCCCTACATGACAGAAAAATAACGAGACCATACATTAAAGCTTTGGGAATGCTTCATTCATGCAAATCACTGGTAAGTCCACACGATGCGTGACATCTGACCCTAACCCTGTCAGGTTCTTGAAAATCCAAAAGGAAATTTTGGAGAATTTTGCAGTATTTACATGTGGATATATGCCTCTTGAAAGTTGAAGAATGTTCTGAGGGGTTTCTGTCCTCATGTGACAAAAGGAGGTAAACAGACAGATGCACAGACAGGTAGACAGACAGGTGGACAGAGGGTGTTCAGACGGGCTGGTCAGACAGGTTGTTGGACGTCTTAACAAAAAGGCGGCCCTATTATGGGGTAAGAATTTTACTGCAAATAAAAAGTGGGTGGTACTTTGACATGTCACATGTGAAGAGAATACCATCTCTAAAATTATGGGAAAATAGTGTCCATATACAAATAGGGCTTTATATGTTTTATGTCTGAAATGGGTGGTCAGACAGGTTGTGAGATGGGTGGACAGACAGGCCGTCAGAGAGGTGATCCAGCAGGTGGTCAGACGGTTGGATATATCAGGTTAACATGGAGGTGGATGGACAGGTTGACGGACAGATGAAAAAATAGGGAGACAGGAAGCTGGGCCATAAAATGGACAGAAAGTTGCCAAGACGGGTAGGCTGTCAGACAGGGGACAGACAGTTGGAGAGGCAGGTGGCAGACTGGTGTTCAGAAAGGCGAACAGATATGTAGGCAATCGGGTCAGATGGTGGTCAGACAGGTGACCAGACCTAGGCAATTATCAGGCCTAGGCAAATAGTGGCTATTTCTACTCGAGTACTACTTGCAAGTAGTGGAGTATTCATGAGTAGTTAACCGAATTCCCATAAAAGCAGAAAAATCACATATACAGTGAAGTAACTTACAAGCAAATAGCGTGCAAGTTACACCACATTCTTCAGCACTGAGATATCCTTACTGTGCGACATTTTGGGTCATTTACTTGAATTTTTTTCGGGGGGGGGGGGGGGGGGGGAAGACAAGAATGGAATCCTACTGAGAAAGAGGAGGGAGTGATTCCCCGTTTGCAGGGGACGTATTAAGCCGTGAACCCTAAACCCTAAATTGTTAGTATCTGCTTCTACTCGCACAAGAACAAGTACTCGAGTAGATTAAAAACCACGAGTAGAACGAGTAGCAAACACTACTCACGAGTACTCGAGTAACTCGAATGGAAACCTACTGAGAAAGAGGATGGAGTGATTCCCCGTTTGCAGGGGACGTATTAAGCTGTGAACCCTAAACCCTAAATTGTTAGTATCTGCTTCTACTCGCACAAGAACAAGTACTCGAGTAGATTAAAAACCACGAGTAGAACGAGTAGCAAACACTACTCGTGAGTACTCGAGTAACTTTCCAAGTTGTATCGATTATGGTTTGTGCTACTTATTTAAAGATAGAGTCCATCATTTGTAATTTGTGCATTTTGTTCGACTGAAGCAAAAGAAGTGCTCAAAATCTAAAGAAGGGTACTGAACAACTAACCTGATGAAGTTTCAGCTCAGCTTCAGCTGTATATTCTGAGAAAAACCAGCATTCTAGGATCTCAATTTCAAATCAATGTTGCTGAATCATGTTTTGAATTGGGCCTGAATTCAGGGTCCGAGACACGCACTGATCCAACGAATTATAGCAACCGTGCGTGCGTGTGCGTCGTACCAATGCTTGCACGCGCTTCGCCGAATAACAAAACGAACTACTAATTAAAATTTTCCTACGGTGCGTCTTAAGAAGCACCATTGGAAAGGCCTTCTTTCGTTGATTACTTCAAAATGACAACTTGCCAGAAAGAATAATTTCACAGGGAGTTTAGTCCCCTTACTATCTTTCAACCAAGTATGTTTTTCAACAATAATTACACCAGTTACTTTTTGGATAGCTGCAAATGATGGACTATAGCTTTAATCAAGATAAATCATATATCAGTAAAATTTGGTTGCCGTGATTTTGCCATGATGCATTTTGTGATGTAGAATTCTTGCAGTACCACAAAAGTAATTGTAAACAAATTGCTGTGCATCTAAGGGCATATTTCAGAAATTATGAAGGGAGTGCAGACAAAAGGATATTACAATTTAGGGATTCAGGAAGTTTTAGGATTAAGAAAGACTCCATGATTGTCCTTTACGCTACAGTATCTTGCCTCCGGGAGGAACAGTTATATCAAAGTGGAACAGTGATTGACAGTACAGAGTTGCAATCTACCAAATTTCAAACGCTATTACCTGGCACAGCATAAATGTCAATTTAGAACACTGGGTAAACACATGTGACTGACACGTTAATTGTCTGCAAATGATCTGAGACCGGTGGTTTGCAGTGCCCATTAAAAAGCAGATTGGATTTCAACGATTAATTGGTTGCCGTGATTCGACCATGACGCATATTTGCAGCAGAATATGTGCTGCGCACGCTGGACTCATATGTCACTTTATATGCCTTCCACACTGGAAAAGACTTGATTTCTTTTACAAGCTCAGCTACTGTGAAGTAATTGTTCACATGGACTGTACTTCATGGCAAGCCAAGTTGGAAGTGTTTGAATGTACCGTGTGATGTGCACTATTATCACTCCACTTCAAACCAATGTAACCCAGCTATTGGATGAAGACGATGTGGTCGTGTGCAAGGGATGAGATAGCTGATTGATGCACACTCAAAATGGAACTCTGTAATCTCTATCTGACTCTTCTTTGGTATACTCGGAGTGGGACTGTTTCTGCACGTGATGTAATTTGAAGACAACTCGGGACTGAAGGTACAAATCAAGCAAGCCTAACTGTACAATGAAAAGACAGACTAACTGCATGCCGCAGTGAATCCTGTTCAAATTTTCTTGAACACATTACTTTCTGAAATAATGAGGTAAACGCCCAGTGAACTTCATTCTACTTGTGCAAAGGGTCATACAGCTGACAAGCAATACATTTTTGGAAGATGATAAAGCCTGATATGATCAAAGGCACGTAGAAGGCTATCATACAGCAAGTTTGAGACTGAAGCTTACAGCTCATTACTTGCAGGTGACACAAGCGAAAGTACAACTTAACCTACTCCTTTGAATCCAAACATGAAGCACATGTTTGAGTTGTCATTGGAATGATGGATTTCATAGATTAACACCTTAGACCCTGTGCTACCACAAATTGCATGCCTTCTTGTCCCTGTACGCCACAAACCCTTCCAACACTGAATGTGTAGTACAGGTAGTGATGAGTAAAAATGGAAAACTTAACGGGATTCAATGAGAGCACACCATCTGCAGACTTTTTAAACGAGGACAATGGACATAGACTTCTCTTGGACATCCTTTCCATGTGTGTTCTGGGTGTAATCTGCTTATTCTGCCTCATCTGCAACTTGTTTTCTCTGTTGGTGTTACATCGCATACATGACATGCATGACGTCACTAAGCTGCTGCTTGTAGCTCTAACGATTACCGATGTTGGAGTGGGATTCTTTGGATTGCTGGCTTCTTGTCTCTATTTCTACCCAGAATTGCGTGATCCACTGGATTGTCCGGCTGAATTCTTTCAGCTAATGGGACTGTGCATTCTGGTAATGATTACTGTGGTCCGATACATTGCAGTGTCACAACCTCTGAAGCTACAGACTCTTGTCACCAAAAGACGAGCTTACATCGGCTTGACATTTGCAGCCATAATCTGTCTTGCTACACTACTTTGCGCAACAATATTGTCCTATATGCATGGTAAACTCGGAATGTCTTTTTATGCAGCGTATATTCTGATTGTGGTGACATTACTTCTGTGTGTCATTATTGCGTATGGTAAATTGCTGTTGATTGCCAGGCATCAGGCACAGCGTATAGCAGCAGCTGAGATCAATGCTGAAGATGCGCGGGTTCAGCTGCATCGCTCAAATGTCAGATCTCTCAAAACATTTCTGATTATCACAGGCGCTGTCTGTCTCACTTGGATACCTAGCCTCACACTACCTGACGAGACAGGTTCCTCCTACACGTATGTCTTCACTTTGTTTGAAAGTCTACGTTACAGTAATTCCTGGCTTAATACAATCATTTATTGCTGGAGAAATGAGGCTTACAGGAAGATTGCCAAAAGGCTCATTTGTCGAAATGGCAGGCAGTGACACTCAACACATTTACAAGGAAACAATGAAAAAAAAAATTGTGAAGTTTGTTGGAACTTTCAGGGAAGGAATCTGTTTCTAAAAGCTAAAGTTCTCTTTCAGGCCCTATAATTTGATTCAGTTAGGCTACAAATGCATACTTCCTATGTAAAATCCCCCAAGGAATGTAAAAAAAAAAAAAAAAAAAAAAAAAATCCAAATTATGGGATTCAGGACCGATAAGTTTAGGTAAGATTCCCCGATGTTAAAAAGTGAAGAGCAACAGTTATTACTACCAACTAACCCCTCACCACCAAACTCTTTAATTGATGCTGCAATAACTGCTTCGGCAAAATTAATGAACATTACTGGGTGACAGCACAGAGTTACAAGCTACAAGTTAACTGTTGACAGTTTTGCAATTTACCTGGCAAAGCAGACTAGAAATCTCAACTGAGAGCTGTGTAAACAATGACTGACAAGTTGATTGTCTGCAAAGTTATGCTAGAAATGTGCAACTTGGCTTATAAAAACTCCCAGAGAGCATGTGAGAAATGATATCACAATTGGGGTTTCAGTACTGTAAGTATTAAGCAAGACTCCTTCATGTTTAAAAGTGAAGCTTCAACAAATTTTACAACACAGCCAATTCTACCAACACCCAACACCATTTTTGGAAACTCTTTAAAGGGGCACTAGGTCTTGAAATCCCCGAAAATTTCATGTTTTGGATTGTTTACTTAGCCTATTTCAAACATCTGGTTGAAAGGAAACCAACCTAATGTCTTACCGTTCCCGAGAAAAGACGGCTGCTTGTTTACATGGGACACCAAGAATATGTTTTTCGTGTCGTTCTCAGTGTACGCGATATACACCATTGTGATGGAGTACGAATACGTTTTTCGTGTCGTTCTCATCTAAGTGTACGCGATATACACCATTGTGTGTCTCGGGAACAGCGGTGACCAATCACCAATGCAAACAAAGTGGTTTCTTCAACGTCCGCAAAAGGCGAACACTGTCAAATGAAATCACAACTGGCACCCAAACGGCTCGAATTTAAGGGGTTGCAAAAGTGGACCCCGAAATTTGTTCTCGCACGCTTAATACAGGAATAACACAAATGCCCAGTTTTGAAAGGATAGTTGTGTGGATGTTTATATCCTACTTTTAAATGTTATTTCCGATTAACATCCTCTCGTTCAAAGCACGTTTTGTAGCCCAATTGGACTGTTCCAGGACCCAGTGTCCCTTTAATAATGCTGCAAAAACTGCCTGGAAAATTTAATAATGAACAAAAGTAATGGACAGCATAGACTTGTAAACTTTAGGTTTGTTGGGGAAAATTGTGTTTTTTACCTGGCAAAGTAGACATTTAAAGCACTGTGAAAACATCAATGGCTGACAGGTTTATTGTCTGCAAATGGTCTGAGACCGGTGATGGCTTACAGTGCTCATCAAGAAGCAAACTGCATGTCAACAATAAATTGGTTGCCATGATGATGCCATGGCGCATTTTGCAAGGCAGAATTTGTGCTACGTCACAGACATAAATGTCACTATTCATGGCTACAACATGAATTTTTGGGCGAAGACTGTTGCCCAGCGTGTTATCGAAATTGCACTTATTGATGATGTCATGATTGTCATCACACATTTTTCTCAGAATTGTATGAGCTATTTAATACGAATTCTGTATTTAGCATCTTTGTTCATCAGATATAACATACATCGTGTCACTTTAATTTTTTTGCTGATAACATCCTTTAATGCACACTTAAAATATCAACTCCATGAGGTTTTAGTTTAGCTGATGTCAAATGACGTCATCGTAACATCACTGGTCGATGTACACCTATAGTATGGGTGTTAGTATGCTTATGGGTCACCTATAGCCTTAGCAATTGGCTCCCTACTGACACGTTGCAGTGGACTCTGTCCTATTTCTGCATCAGACTACCAAACACCCCACCAACCACCAAGGATTCCTCTTAATCTCAGCATCCACCGGCAATCTCCCGACGATTGATGGAGCATACACTCTAAAACATCAAGTTTAATTATGTGCATCGGGTCGAGTTGACCAGGTCAAACCGACCCGAAACATTAGAAATATAAACCGAATCCGAACCGAAAACGATCTTAACTCCCTCAAATCGACCCGACCTGACCCAACCAAAAATAAGGTAAAACCGACCCGAAACAAAAACTGAAGATCTGGCTTGGACAAAGTGATCACTTTTTTGTGCCTGCCCTTACCCACGTGGCATGTATTGCAAAATCTTTGTCTCTCTCTCATACTCAGTGGGTTGATATGGGAGAGGGCGGTCCTATAACCATTGAGAATAACTCCGCTATTGAACAAACGCATGGTATCACCGCGCAGTATCATGAAAACTGTTACAATGTATCTTTTTCACTGTCGGTCCTGATCCGACTGGAGTAATTAATACTACTTGATAGTGCGCACGTTAGCCACACCACATTGGGCTGAGGTCACAGTGACTGTCAATAATATTGCATCACCTGAATGTCTCAACTGTTTCAGGTGTTTTTTTTTAGGTGGACAGATGGAGACTGAAAGGTTTTGACAATATCCCTAATGACCACTAGTCGTCCCCTAGTACCATAAAGTGCTGAGTCAAATTATACTCAAGAAAATAAATTGGCATTTTGATTGTGTTGGAAGGGAATCTGTCAGACTTGTACCTCTCTAACAAGAATGAGAACAAGGATTATCTATTGATACGATTGTGCTCTGAACCATTAATTTGGCTACAAACAGGTGACATTTACATTAATAATTGAACTGCTAATGGACTTGTGAGGCTGATGGTGACGTAAACTGCTCATTAAAATCGGGCGGTAATCATGTGGTTGCTATTATCCTTCCACGATACATTTTCTGATGCAGAATTCTTGCTGCGTCACAGAGGTAATTCAAAAGCAAAAAAAAACATAAGAACAATCTGCCTCGTTTCTACACGTGTATTATAGGACTTTCAAAGAATAGGGAAGAAGTGTAAGCAGTATAGCTTGGAAGACAAGGATGGTCTGGTGCTGGTCGTATGGATTGATACTTCCTTCTTCAGATGCAAATTTTGTGATCAGACGAGCTTCCTGGTAGGCTTACCACGACTAAACCAATCTTGGCAATACCTGCACTTTACGTCATTTTACACCAATAAAACTCCAAATTAGCGGCAGTTCAGCACCATCAAAGGACAAAGTCGACAGCAGTACATGTAAGTCTGTGAATTATTAAAGTGCTGAATGATGTACACTCAGACATAAAACTCTAGAAACTTCTAGAATATACGGTCCTGCTGTGCTCTTGGACTAGAACTGTTTCCTGGAGGACTGAGATTAAGACAAGATAAGATAGGATTGAGATTGATGACAAAGTAACATGATGTGCAGGTCTTCGTGTACGACCAGTGGGTAAAGACCAACCACTGTAGTGAACCCTGAACATAATTCTTGCACAGAATTTCAAAACCCATGTTGATGTGGAACACTAAAGTTCCATGGTTTTGCAGCGATTTTATTACAGACAATGAGCTCAATTCTACATGGGCACTTGTGGACATGAAATATTATAAAGCCAACTGGATTGTTTAGGATGACAAAACAGACAAATTATGGAACTTGCACCAAACTGATACTTCTATCCACATTTCAGAGCAAATCTGGGACTGAATTTAGCCAATATTGGACGATGTTTATTATCAGGAAATGACACAAAGATAGAGATTCAAGCATTTACATCGGCCAACGAAGGGACGAGGATAACAAAGATCTGTATTAACTAAAAAAATGGAAAATGTATCAGGACTCAATGAGGCCTCATCATCGTCAGGCTTTGTTAACATTGACAATGGATGTGCCGTGAACTCAAACATTCTCAAAGTGTGTGTTCTAGGTCCAATCTACTTGTTCTGTCTCATCTGCAACTTGTTTTCTCTGCTGGTGTTACATCGCATACATGACATGCATGACGTCACTAAGCTGTTGCTTGTCGCTCTAACAATAACCGATGTTGGAGTGGGATTTTTTGGACTTCTTGAGGCAATTCTCATACTGCACATCAAAATGGCGAACCCACTACAGGCACTGATTGAATTCCGTCAACTGCTGGGATTGTGCACTCTGGCTATGATAACTGTGGTCCGATACATAGCGGTTTCGCAACCTCTGAGGCTACCAACTCTTGTCACCAAAGGACGAGCATACATCGGCTTGACATGTGCACTTTTATTTTGCCTCTCTCACCTTGTCACTCATTTAATATTAGAATACGCCAACGGGTATTCAAATCTAGTAGACAATCTCTCCCTCTCTTTTTGTCTCACCATGGTAACACTGCTTCTTTTCAGTGTCATTATCCTCTACGGAAGATTGCTTTTGATCGCCAGGCATCAGGCACGGCGTATAGCAGCAGCTGAGATCAATGCTGAAGATGCCCAGGTTCAGCTGCATCGCTCAAATGTCAAATCTCTCAAAACGTTTCTGATTATCACAGGCACTGTCTGTGTCACATGGCTACCTTCATACGCGCTCATTGCTGAGGTAAATTCCTGTATTTTGACATTGCTTCATGCTGTGCGTTCCTGCAATTCCTGGCTTAATACAATCATCTATTGCTGGAGAAATGAAGCTTATAGGAAGGTTGCTAAAAAGCTCATATGCCCAAACAGCAGACAGTGACATTCAACAAATTAGAGATGTAATGTACTGTCCATGCTGAGGATAATTCAAGGGATGAGGGCTAAAAATCATTTGACAAATGTGGTTGATGTCCATGTTTCAAAATGGTTCATTTATAATGTACATATCAGTGCAAAGTTGCATTTTAGCCCCTTTCTGACAGGTTCCACGGATAAATTTGCTTTAAATTCACACTCAAAAAATATTGGCTTTGGGTCGTCTTCTGAACGTTTCTCCTTTTTTGGATCATGGAGAGAGTTTGAACTTCAGAAGCCCTCAGCATCACAGATTAAAGGCACATAGAACATTGGTTGTTACCAGGTAGACTGACCAAACATAGGGGGGGTACCAACTTCCCTGCAAAATTAATCTGCCTGAAATGATACTTTATCTTGTCTGAAAGAAAACAATTGTTGGGCCCTTCAATCATTGAAGCGGGCACACTTTCTCCATGCAATAGCAATAGAGACCAATATTGAGACCTGAAAAAAATGTGTGGTTGTTTTCTCCGTTTTCTAAAAATGTATTAGAATCCACTGAGCTGAAACTTCAACAATGTAGTAGGTATGCACCCAACTTGAGACTTTTAGCAATATTGTGGCTTCGAACCAAACAAAATTACAAAAAGCAAGTGATCATAAAATACCTTTAAAACTCAATCTCACCTGCCGTAATGACTGAGAAATGCCGAGATGTACTCCTTCCTTTTCTGAAACCCTTTGACAATCTGGTCAACCTAGAAGGTAATCAGAAAGAGTACAAATATTTGTAAATGTCTTAACACTTCAGAATCCTTCATAAAGCTTTTATTGTAATAAATTTTAACAAGAGATACCGTATGTCTAGCACAGTTGCACACTGTTGTACATATTATAGTTGTATATATATTAGGTGGTGAAAAAAGAAGGAAACCCACCTTTGACAGCAATGTTCACCTACTTTTTGAGCATATTAGAAAAAAATTCAATATGATGGTATTAATATACTGATGTTTAAAGGGAAAATACAACATTTGCAAACACCACAAAACGAAACGATCAAGCAATCACAAAATACCTTACTGGCTTGTTAGGGAATGACAGTCTAAAGCATCCTGAAAAATCGTGGCTCCTGGTGTGCCGACATTTTCAAGAAAAATGGTATTTATCCAATGCTGGTCGACCAAACAGCGTTGGAGAAAACTGGCTTTTTCAAAAACTGCTTGCAAACTCTGTGCTGCAAAAACTCTTTGCAATTGATTACACACCTGTGAAGAGGTACAAGCCTGCTAGACTGATTCTCTGACCTTACGATTCCCACAAAGTCTATAAATTCTCCGTTTCATCTTAAGAGGGGTCAGGGAACCGGACTACAAGAACATGAATGGTTTTCTTGGTTTTTCCAGCATCTACAAGCCCAAAACGCGAGACAATTGAGTTTAACAATATTTGCTCTAACATACTGATCCTTCAAATCCATTTATTTCTGAAAATTGAAGCAACAGCAAATGTTGTACATTTCCTTTAAAGATATGGTAGTTTAAAATGTTTATGTGCCAAACCCGTTTGTCCAAGAACAGCTTTATTCCATCTGCTTGACTGAGCTCCGGAGCTTAATTTGAAGACCAAAAACACTACACTAGACTTACATGTGGACAACAGTGAGTTTGGTGACTTGTATTCAAATTATCATATTAACACCATTCTTGCGATTCTTGTAAAGATTTTTTCACCACGTATGATTGAAGAGCTTTACTTCACTACATTATAAAAAACAATACGTTCAGCATAAAGTAGGTTAAAATTCCTGTCAAAAGTGGGTTTCCTTCTTCTTGCACCACCCTGTACATTGGAATTACAAAGGTGTTGTGAAATTGTATTGCACATTTAGCAATCACTCAACAATAAAAAACTAACAGATTCTCTCCCCTTCGTCACCATCTTGATCTAATTTTCTTTGTACCCCTGCAAAGTTGAATTTGGTGTTGTACAATTTGTGCACTTTTTTAACGTATTGAAAATTATCGAGTTTAGCTAAAGCCCTCCTTCTCTGGCTGGCAAATTTAGCTATGCCATCACAGCAGTCAATATCCATCAAATAAACTAAAAGGTACCTTTTGGGGAAAATCAACCCGCATTTTCCTAAATCCTCCAAAATCCTCTTCGCATAATGGAGGATTTTGCAGGATTGAGGCTATATGGCAAAAATGTGTGACTGATTTTGGAGGGTACACTGTGTCCACTGTGTCAAGGTCTTGGGCCAGAACTTGTGTTGTTTATTTTCAGCTGTGCAGACATTTAGGTTTAGATTATACTTGAAATCCTCCGCACTGCTCCAGGATGTTACTGGCTCTGCCTCAGAGGCATTGGTCACCCTTTAAGGACCGCACTCAAGAAATAACGGATGATTTTGGAGGATTGAGGCTGTTTGCAATTTTAACATGGAGGCAGCTGGAGGATTTTGCAGGATTGAGGTTGCATCCTAGCAAATTGCCTAGGGAGTTAGGGTTAAAGAGCTAGTAGCAGGAGCTTGCGACACTTTCACGGTGTCTCTATCAGCTGGCGTTATTGAGGCCCTCATGTGACCATTAACTCGAGTTCCACAAAGGTACCTTTCCATTTATTTGATTCAATAATGGGACTGGAAACAAACGTTCATGCTCAATATCCGTCAAGTGAATGTTTTTAACAGTTAAGATTATGAATTCCCATGTTCATTTGATATCTAGCCATGCTTTGACTGGAGGTGACTGATATGCCAGCTGTACCTACATGTACCAGTTACATCTTTCGTCCGTTGACGGAATTTGACTAGTCAAAGTGTTTACATGAATGTGAGCTGACTGGCTTTTTTGTACTAGCCTACATACAAATGCAAGGCAGGGCAGAGTTGTAGTCGAGTACTTTCCGAGAACCAGGTTTACTTTCAGATATTAAGATGGTTTTGGTATGGATAAGGTTGCATAATACACACATTGGACAGTAAATTCTTACCAAAAGAATTAAAGACTTTGGACAATCTGAATCTTTTGATTTTGAGACAAAAGCATTTGAAAAGTACTCGCCGAGTACTTTCCGAGTACTTTTCGAGTGCTTCCGTCCCAAAATTTGAATTGAAAATGTATTTTTGATATAGCTGAAGTCTCAGGTTTATTTGTTTTCAAACGCTAACAACATTTGCTATCTACTGTCAATGTTTCTCTCGCATTGTTTACAAGAAACAGCTCAATATTTAGTAGCAAATAAAGTACTCGGACAGTACTCGGAATGTACTCGACTACATCTCTGAGGCAGGGGAAGTGGAAGATATTTTGACTGTCTGTGACTGATCAAACAATAGGAGGGTTTGTTACATTTGCACTCAAGGTCCTGCGTAGGAAGGGTTGCGCTTACATATTGGCACTTACGGGGTACCGGGAACAAAGGGCAACAATAGGGACAATGGTACCCCGCAAGCCTGTCTTCAGAAATTGAAGTACCCCATGACCCTTAAGCTATGTGTTTTGAGATTTCTTAGGAGACAAAGGAGAACAAAAGAAGGGGACTAGGGTCGAACAATAGTGGTACCCCATAAACCCCATATGGTAAGTGTTAGTGAGTTTCGGGGAAAGTTATAGTAATCATCATATTTACGGGATTTTTATCAACTTGCACATCATTATTGTTATTTTTATTGTTATTAGAAATGTTAACAATGCAATTTAGATACTGAATGTTGTCGGTTTAATAAATTGCATCAATCTGGATGAATCTGATTTATGTTTTTAATGTTTATGCACCACAAAACTGTGATTCAATTCAATTCAATTACTCAGTTTATTTATAGATATTAGAAACCCATGAAAGTCCAAAAGACTATAAATGATTGAACTGCTGGAGGATAAAATTGGTTGACCTTATAATTATAACCGGGGGTAAGTTTTTACCATGTTTTCCAGGAGTTGGCAGACATTTGGCACATAATCCATCAGACAGCCTCCATTTTGGAATGCTGGGATACGAAGGGACGCAGACCCGCCCAAAACGCTGTGGATAAAAAGAAGACAAAAGATAATCTTCCATGAGCTTTAACCTTAACAACCCCCATCCAAACTCCAACACTAGGGTTTGTTGGAATCTGTTGGGATGAGAACTGCACTAGTAAATTGATAATGCTTTACATGGGTTAGTGAAAAATTGAAAATCATAAGTTTAAATTCTTCATTTTGGAGCTGTTTCTTAATCTGTTTCGGACTGACATTCTAAGGTATGGTGTAAGTCATCTGCAGTGGAGGTTTAAGTATAGAACAATTAACAGCCTGAAATTAGATTGCTGATGATGCATGGTTAGGAGTCTGTCAGCAGACACGTGTTTCTGGAGTTCTGCACACATGATGTATTACTGACTAGTTTGAAGAAGATTGTTTGATGCGTTATGGGAGGAAAATACCTCTTTTACAATACAGGGCGAGTAAAAAAACGAAACCCAAATGTCGGGACTATTGTTTTGGTGAAGGATAGAATCTAGGATATGAAAGCCCAATTCATAAACTTTCTTTTAGTACAAGAATCATTCAAATCACTCATGTACTTCTCAAGTTACAGAGTTTTAAACACAACCCCCGTTTTAAAGATCTGTCCACGGATCACTAAAAAGGTGTGCGTTCTTTCAGCAAAACGAAAACAATTCACATGCATCCCTATGTGATCTGTGTTCGTTTTGCTGAAAGAACACTGAACTTTTTTGTGATCTGTGGACAGAACCTTATAATGATGGTTGTGTTTAAAACTCCGTAACTTGAAAAGTACATGAGTGATTTGAATGATTCTTGCACTAAAAGAAAGCTTATGAATTGGGCTTTTATATCCTAGAATTTGAAAGTGCTACATGCAGAACTTCACTGAAACAATAGTCCTGACATTCGGGTTTCGTTTTTTTTTTACTCACCCTGTACAGGAATCAGCAATTTTTTTTGCAGAAATGCTAAAAGAAAATCTTAGCTATGCAATATCTTATAATCAACAGCAAATGTTACAGCCAATCCTTCATGCCTTATGTTCACAAACACAAAGTGTAGTCTGTAGTCCGTGTATCTGTAGAGGTGGACTGTGTGCTGACCGCAGAGTTGTAGTCGAGTACTTTCCGAGTACCAGGTTTACCTCCAGATATTAAGATGGTTTTGGTATGGATAAAGTTGCATAATACACACATTGGACAGTAAATTCTTACCAAAAGAATTAAAGACTTTGGACAATCTGAATCTTGTAAAAACTAAGCTTTTGAGACAAAAGCATTTGAAAAGTACTCGCCGAGTACTTTCCGAGTACTTTTCGAGTGCTTCCGTCCCAAAATTTGAATTGAAAATGTATTTTTGATATAGCTGAAGTCTCAGGTTTATTTGTTTTCAAACGCTAACAACATTTGCTATCTACTGTCAATGTTTCTCTCGCGTTGTTTACAAGAAACAGCTCAATATTTAGTAGCAAAGTACTCGGACAGTACTCGGAAAGTACTCGACTACATCTCTGGCTGACCGTTGTGTGGGCCGTTGAGCACAGCCTATTGTTGTACAATTTACACTCCAGTGCACACACCGGAGTATTGAAACATATGAGGTTTCGGCAAGAAATATTGTACAAATACTGTGGAAACCACTCTTGCAAATCAGTATTTGTAAATATGACTGTATATCAGAAGTCGGCTGGGAAATTTTGCCTTTCGAAAATTTCGAAATTTTCAGCAAAAATAAACCTGGAGTGAAGTGGTGAAAGGGAAAATTGTGCATGAAAGTCCATATGACTATTCCAAATCGATTTGGACTGTTTTAAGTACTGGAATAAAATGGGGGTTGCAGATCACTTACTGTTCAACTCTCGGAGACAAGTAGAGCTGGGGGGACACCTTAGTGGCTTCCTGATTCTGGAAACTGACCAATAGGATGGCTGCATCCTCACCAGGGTTGTCCTGGAAATCAAACACAAACTTTTTCAATATTAGGTTTTGCCCTTCACTATTGCTATAGGCACTGTATACCGAGTGCTGACAAAGCGCACGTGACAGAAATTGACGGATGGGACTTGAACCCATGACCTCCTGCTTACTAGTGCAGATGTCTTGATCACGTGACCATTGCAATCAAGATCTTGTATGATGTTAACACAAACATAAGGCTTCAATTACTTTTTTGGTTACTAATTTTTTATAGATGAGATTTGAAGGTTTGCATGGTGGAAAGATACTAAGACAAGATAAGTTTGCGGTAGCACCATGTGAATAAATCTCTTTTGTGAGTATGTGTGTTTGTGTGGTTCTGAAAGTGAAGCAAAACACAATACACTTATGGGATTTCAAAAATGGCAACAAGTTTCACGCAACAAGTTTCACACAAACTTTAAAAGGTGCGATAAAAAAATGAAACTTTAAAAGCTACAACGCAATTAAAGAAAAACTGCGCCACCAAGCGTTTATCTTGAATATTCCACTTTTTAACTTCACTTTTGACATCCTGCACATAATTATTTTGCTATTCACCTGTATTATTGTTTATATGCAGTGCCGCACAACACATTAGAAGTGCTATAAATACACTCATCGTTATTACTAAAAAAAACACCTTACATCATGTGTGACATGGAAAATGTTAAAACTGCGAAGTCTTTGTCCAAAAGGAAGAGTTTGGTGCACGGATCATTGACATCTATACTAACTAGCCTGGCTGTTACATGCCAATTGGCCAATGCACCTTGAAGCAACTAATATGCCATCTTAGATCCCCAACCAACACCGTTTGCAGTCAAGGAGTTTTTTTTTTCACTTTCAACAACTTCCCTCAAAACTAATTATTCGTTGTGTGTTGGCCAGTCCTAGGAATAGGACTGTTTAAATCTCAAAAGCCAACCAAACAATACAGTTCATATTTTCGCCGCCTTTTAATACTCTGAAGAAAAATTCACCACGAACTACCCGTAAAAAAATCACTTTTACTGTGTGCATGTCACGGGTGACTCAAGATGGCGGATGGCTGCTTCAAAGCCTGAGCATTGTCAGGCAGTCCAGTTAAATAGAGGTCAATGGCAGGGATGTAAACTTTTGCCCATAATGCACTGGTAGATATGTGGTGCTGCACAGTATTGTGAATCACTTATATTTTACCTTCACAAGGAATTCTGGGATATTTGAGAAGTCCACAGGAAGTCTGATGAGGAAGTTAACGATGGTTGGACCCTGAAAAGATTTACCAAAACAAAAAGGATCATCTAAGGATACATGAACGTATAGTCAGTTGCGTTTAGTACAAAAATGAATAAAACTCACCTTTTAGAACCAATAATATGGGGACCGGGAAGCAGTCTACTTGAAGATTCGAACACTCAAATGCGAACCCCCCCCCCCCACACAAAACCAGTCACTTGGACCAATTTTAGCATACTGTGATTTTGGGATCATTGGAAAAGACATTCAATAATTCATAAGATGGAATTTTGTGTCGGGGTGATGTGAATAGTTTATGCGGTGTCCGCTGCTATGTACATCAGATTTCGAACCAGCCAACTGATCCCGTTAGCTCGGTGGTCGAGTGGTAAGACATCTGCACTAGAAAGCAGGAGGTCGTGGGTTCGAGTCTCACCCGCGTGATTTTTTCCAACTTTCACTCGGGAGGTAACACACTGAGTATACAGTGTTTATACGTCGGTGCAGGGCAAAACCTAATTTGATTGACACTGAATAAGCTTTCAAATGATGTACAGAATATGGGAATCATACAAAATCTGATGGATATTTAGGTATTTTAAGTTCTCAGTTTTCATCAGATATTATACATTATAGGCTACATTACAGGTTGTATCTCAAAATACGGCCATTTGACTTCGAACTGGTTTTGTGCTGGAGGGTGACAACTGTCAAACTTTGTTAAAGAAAATAAAGAAAATAAATTTGTTTGTTGAATAGCATGAACAATAATTCTTTCACCCTAACTGCCTATAGGCCCTCATAGCTAGGAACCATCCTCAATCCTGCAAAATCATCCAATTGTCACCAGGCCCAATCCTCCGAAATCCTCCTTTATTTCTTGACTATATTCAAAGGAGGGGTGGCCACTGCCTCAATCCTTCAAAATCTTCCAACAATCATTGTAATATGTTGAGGCGGTGCCAATGCTATCTAGAAGCAAAGCGGATGATATCTACGATAATGTGGGCCTCCATTATGCATGGCTGAACATTAACAATGCAAGGCACAGCCTATGAACTCAATATATTGCATCCTCCAAAATCAAATGACACATGTTTTTCGTTCAGCTTCAATCCTCCAGAATCCTCCAAAACCGCCTGGTTGATTTGGGAGGATGGAGGAGGGTTAGGGTTAATATATTTCATTCAAAATAAGCGTATGGTGTACAGCTGCTTAGCACAAAGTATTGTTTAGCCAAAGTTTTGGTTTAGTAAAAATCTGCCGAGATTACTCTTACCCTAGCGGTTTTCCTGCTGTGGTAAACCTCTATGTCAGTGAATTTGCCAGTTTCCAGGAGTGAGTTGTATTCAAACTGAAGTCTATCTCCTAGCAGTTTTCTCTGATGTTCCTTGTAGGTACCTAGCAGTTCTCGAATCACCAGGGTCAGCGATTTGGTGTCCTCGGCATCCCAATTCACGAGGCTCTGAAAAAGAATGGAAGGGAGGAAGGAAGCTGAATTCACAACTTTGGATCTACAGGATCCCATTGGAACATTCTCTTACTCTAAATTTCAACAGTGGTTGAGATCTCCCTGTCACAATGCTGAAAAATCCTTCCAACCCTCCGTGTAGACTGAAAGGATCTCCAAGTATTTGGGTTAAAGAAGTGCAACTAAAAATATGTACCGTACATTATTTGGGTTATAAAACAGGGCTCTCTCGCAACCTGAAATACAACTAGGTACCGGAAAATGAGCATTCCCATTGCTGTAGGCAAAGATCGTATAGTGCACCATGCAGTATGTAGAAGGCAAGCCTTAAAAGCTGTGATGGATAGCAAAAACTGTGATATTATGGAACCAACGCCCAGTGCTGGGTCTGCACAATTATGACAACCGTACACAGCACAGGTAGGTGACCATTACCCCCATTTGATAAAGAATTTGCGGATATTTACATTAAAATATGCCCTACTGTCTAGTTTACAATGTATAACGTAGTCACTAATTAACCAAACGCTTGCCTACCACACTGGTAGTCGATCGAGGGGAAACTGGCAATGTCCATCACAACTGGGCTTAATTTCACGGCGCTGCTAAGCACATGATTTTGTGCTGTCAGAGCCTCCGTCTATTTTCATGGAGACTGTAAGCATAAGCACAGCGAAAGGCATGCTCACTTCAGAGGAAATTTGTTCTTAACTTAGTAATGTAACAATAGAAATCTCCATGCAATCTCCGTTAGCCCATCCACGCCGTGAAATAGTGCTTAAGGTTAACAAATTTGTCTGCTATGCTAAGCACAACATTTCTGCTAACCGTTAAGCAGCACCGTGAAATTGGGCCCTGGTGTCTTTGATGACGTAATGAATGACATTCCTTCCAAAAAAAAAAGAAGAAATCCAGCTGAATCAAGTGAAGACTGACCTTTATTTCTTCAACTTCGGGCATGAATCCCAAGTCTTGGTCAGTGAAGATGAAATCGGGTGGATCTGATGGGTGCATGCTGTCAAAAATAACTTGCCCTGCCATCAGTAACAACACATTTTATACATGTATCAATAAGTGTGTCTTAATTTGGCTATTTGTTAATGAATGGTTTTGTCCTTCCAAAAACAAAACCAATCAAAGGTTATAACTAAAACTGACACCGACGTATAAACAGATAAAGACCAAAGCATGAAACGAACTACGGTACACCAAAAACAGCAGAGGTGGAAAGATCTGACCTCGCAATTAGTTTTTGTTGACTTTTTGGTGGGGTTGGCAGAGGTACTTGGTCATGCAAGCTTTTTTGTTCCAAAATGATTTAGTTTGAAAACTTGTAAGGAAAATTATGGATCAACTCTAAGAAAAATTGAGTTTCCTCCACATACAAATGATGGATTGTTTAAATACAGGGTAGAAAAATGGCAATTTTTTGACAGGTCATGTTGAAAATTGTAGACCTCAGATCTGTGACATAGATTCATCCCGTTAGCTTCAATTGTTGAATTTCTAAGGAGCACCAGAGCTGGGGTTTCCCAAGCTAAAAATATTTGGCTGATGTGACCAACCAGAGGCATCAAGTAACAATTCAGATGATAGAAAATTAATAGTTAATGTAGAACAGTGCTCATCGGATTAGCTGTTGTACCCGAGCTTTCGGATCTCCGTCCTTCTTCATGGGGTGGTGTTCTTGCATGTTTTGAATGGGAGAATTCCACGTTCAAACCACTTTTCCACATTAACTATTAATTTTCTATGCTCTACACAGTGCTACGCAGCATCCCTACATTTTCTTCTACTTAACAATTCAGATGTATGTATACTTACAAGTCACAGTATTTCCCGCATATGGAATCTGAATCTTGAAGCGATCACAGCAATGCTTTTTTGCAATTGTGTGCCTCCTTTATGGGGAGAAGAAACAAACAAAACAATTCACTGTCATTCAAATCTGGTCAACAGCGCACGTACATGTATGCAGTGCAGTAAAGACTGATAATTATTGAATGACAGGCAACAGCCACCCATGCACTTTGGTAAAGTTGACGAACGCGCAGTGGAAACCATGAGTATCATGACCCATGACCTTAAGCACATATGGATGCTACGTGTTTTTTTCCTGCCCGCCAGTCGTCTGACTTTGGCCCGAAATTACAGAATAACTAGACCCCTGAAGTACGGAATTAAAAAAAAAAGTAGTTCTGCTTCCGATTTCATGGCATTTGAAAATAGGGTGGGTAGACAGGGATTTTTTTCTTTGGCAATTTGTTTGTGTACGATCATCATATGGAGGTGTCTGCGTGGTAGTAAAGGGTAAAAGGTAGTAATTGATGGTTTTCGGGGGTTCTCCTCATTTCTCCCACCCTAAAAGAAAATAGGGTAGAGGCTGTCAAAACAGGGTAGGTAGGGTAACTGAAAGCAGCACTATTTTTTTTTTTGGGCCTAATCTCTGGATTTTCAACATTCTTTTACAGAATTGGTCTTTCGATACTGAACTTATATACACGTTTTGTATAGAACAAAAGCTTGAATAATGTCTGTGGCTGTGCCTGGGCGATCGGGCCCGGTTCCTATATAACTTAGGGAACAAAATCCACTTTGATTTGATTTGATTTGAAATGGTGTATCATTTTATTCAACCATGACAACCAAAAGCTGGATTGCGGTTAAATTACATTAAACTCATACTACTAAAAAAATGATGAATAAAAATAGAAAGGACAAACATTGGTCACTAAGTCAAACTAAATCAAGTGAAGATTAAAAAGTGTTACTGCACCAGGCAGATTTACAAGGGTCAAAATCAAGATGAATCATTGTTGGTAAAATGTATACTGCAAAAGAAAAAACGCTGTAAAAAACATTAAACTCTGTGGATACAGTTTTTCCTACTAGCCTTACGATCAAGATATTGAATCACATATTTCATTAAAAGATTGCATTAAGATATACAAAAATTAAGACTCAACGAATTACATAAAACTGTCATTGAAATACCCTCATATGCTTGAAATTATTTGACCTACCAAACTAGTTGGCGACATTAAGAACATACAGGTATGTCATAGATAAAGGGCAGGGTTTTGCATTTTTTAGGGAAATTTGGGGGTAAAATGACGATGACAATGACAAAATGCAACACGAAAATAAAGATGGGGACACCGCGCGATGTACCGTGAGTGCACAAGGCGCGCTGAATCAGATGGCACCAACCGTAAACTGTGTAGGAAAATCGTAATTTCTACCCGAGAAACTGTTCAAAAATTACCAAAAAGTTGTCATAATTCAGAGAAATATGCTTAAGGTTGAAAATGTCATTGTTGAGTAATAAAAACCATTCTTGACTATAATTTGATCAAAACAAAACAGGGGCCTTACTACACGATTGCCCTGTGCCTGTGGAAACCAACATGAAAGCATTAAAATTAAGACTTGAAAGCATATGTTTATCTTCCCAACATTTTAAACACCCCTATTTTTCAAATGGAAGAGGCACCCAGACGATTCCCTCGTACCCCCCGCCCTGTGAACAGGATGCTGGGATACTCGGGTCCTACTAAAGCGCGTCAACAAGCGTCAACAAGCGTCAACAAGTTTTAGTAGTCGTTAAGTGCGCGTCAACAAATTTTGTATAGGCCTTTGAACAATAAAAACAGCTTTATATGGTAGAAAAAGCAATAATGAATATCTTCTGCATATCAATTAAAGTTAAAATTACTTAAAAAGTGGTTTTCCAGCGCGAAATCTACGACGGGTTTTTCGGTTTAGTATTGGCCGCCATCTTGTTTGAGATCTACATACTACGCATGCGTGGAGTGTACCATTCACGCATAGGGGTGTCTTTATACGATACGCTTTGCGATACCTCGTTTGCCGAAAATATTCAATTCTAAAAATTCGGAAAACTATTTTTTTTTCAATTATAAATTATGCCTACTGACACTGTTCTTAATGTCTGCCAAAAAATCCCAATGCAAAAACCAAACGAGGTATCGCAAAGCGTATAGTATAAAGAAACCCCTATGTGTGAATGGTACACTCCACGCATGCGTAGTATGTAGATCTCAAACAAGATGGCGGCCAATACTAAACCGAAAAACCCGTCGTAGATTTCGCGCTGGAAAACCACTTTTTAAGTAATTTTAACTTTAATTGATATGCAGAAGATGTTCATTATTGCTTTTTCTACCATATAAAGCTGTTTTTATTGTTCAAAAGCCTATACAAAATTTGTTGACGCGCACTTAACGACTACTAAAACTTGTTGACGCTTGTTGACGCTTGTTGACGCTTGTTGACGCGCTTTAGTAGGACCGGGATACTCTGATGAGCTTCACAGAATCTTGTGAAGGAAGTGGCCTATGACCTATGTATAAAGCATCTGGCTGCAGCTGTTCAAAACCGCAGTTAGACAATGTGCGCAAATGCTATCCGAAAACTTCCCATGGAAATGCACACGTTTCATACCGGATGTGATTTCTGTTTCATTGAGAACCATGTGGACAAAATTTTGAGCGTCGCATAATGCAATCCAACCGTTCGTGATTCGAAATGGAGCCTGAGCAAGTGACAGGAATTGTAAATTTACAACACAAATAAGTTTTACAGAATTTCCTACATTATTACGCTTTTCAACGAAAAAAAAAGCATCTGTAAACTGGAATAAAGAGTAATGAATCAGTTTTAACGACCGTTTCAAACCTTGCAGAGTCATGACGGTGATGACGCGCAGGTCACAGGTCACGCAAAATCCAACCAATGAATCAGAGCGTGAATTCATCAGGGTATCCCAGCGTCCTGTTTGCAGGGCGGGGGGTACGAGCGAACCCAGACGACAGTTCGCGCTAGGCCGGCGGCCTCCCCGGGCCCGGCACCCCCCCCCCCCCGCCCCCTCCTCCCCCCGGTACAGAGTGAGGGCGCCCTGTGCAATGAATGGAAGTCAGACAGCTGCACTAAACTACATACCCAGTTTTCGGATCTGAAACATACAGTGGTCCTCCGCAAACACCAACATTATTCTCTCTTAATAAAGCATCTACATATTTCCCTACTTGAGGGTCCAAAAAATCCAAGACATCCATTACTGTATTCACTTTTCCACCAGTATCTGCAGTAAAAACTCGGACTTCCGTCAAATCATGGAAGCTGCCATATTTAAGAATATGAATATAATAATTTTTCTTATTAACAATCCTAAATAATATTTCAAGTAGAATCAAAACTTTAAGAAAAAAAATGTATTTGGAAATACAATTTCAGAATAGGATATTTTAATATTTAAATTGTTAATTTTGTTCTTACGTTTTTGTGTATATTGTATACTTGCGACAGAGCCGAGAAATTATAGCATGGTACCCTTTCCATGCTGTATTTTTGCTCAAAGAAAATTGACAGAAGCATTTGGGGTGCCAGACAGCTGTATAGTTGCACACTTTTGCAGTTATTGTTAATTATTTTTGATCTAGAAAAGGGTCATAAATGCAATGTTTCGAAGTTCTTCAGGGAACAATCTTTTGGCAGTTTGGTATATATATGTTTTGACATGGAATGTCGGCATTTCTACTAATAGGGACAACGAAAATGGAAGGAAAAGGTGATCAAAAGTTTGCCGTTCTGACTGGTTGAATACTACGAATACTATAGCCCCATAAATGTGGCTGTTGTGCCCATTCTTGAAAATCACGCATTCTCGAGAATGGGCATGCACATTCTCGAGAACGGGCGCGCATTCTTAAGAATGAGCGCCCATTCTTAAGAACGAGCACGCGTTCTTAAGAATGAGCGCTCATTCTTAAGATTGGGTGGGAATATCACGTGCACAATTTATGAATTTTGCCCAATCTTAACAAACATTGCACGACATAATTATGTTAAATGAATTGTATAGCGGTTAAAAGGGAAACAATTCATATAAAGAGGAAAGAAAATGTGCTATGCTTCTGTACTCGTATAACTACGATAATTTGAATCAAATTAAACCTGTTATTATTGCTTTTTTTCCGCCCACTATGGGAAGTTTTGTAATAACGGAGGACTGGGAACTAGTCTGGGAAGTGCTTTGTTTAGGCTAGACAAGTTACAAGTCCCTGCATGTACCATATGCGTGCCACGAAACAAAAACGATGTCCAGAAGCTGCCAAAATTGCTCTTTTGACTAGATAGAATCCAGCTCTGCGACGTTATGGTGGGATGTGAACAATAAATTAAATTGGTGGCAATTTAAATGGGAAATAGCATTAGCACTATGGGATGTCGCAGTATTCATTCTCATTCTTCACATTCTTCATTCTTACGTCCCCCCCCCCCCCCCCCCCCGCTTTTATTATCCCAAAAATCAGAATTCTTTGCACTAGTATTATTATGTCTCTTATATCCCCCCCCCATATCAATACGCCTTTACTTATCATATCCACTCTACTTTTCAGCGCCTTGCGTTGCAACAGTATTTATTGAGAATCTATCAGTGAACGAGGATTCAGCTAGACTTGCCAAGCGCAGCCGATGCTCGGCATCGACAAGACTGTTATCTTGTCGCGCATTCTCAAGAATGTGCGCTCAATCTGGAAGAGTTATTTTTTGCCAAGATTGAGCAAGGATCCAGTTGCACATTCTCAAGAATGTGCATGCCCATTCTCGAGAATGCGTGAATTTCAAGAATGGGCACAACATGGCCTATTTACTGGACTGCCTCCGTAAACATAGGCCACACATCCACATGTACAAAAATCGTTTCGACTTTGCCAAATTTTGATTTTCACATTTAGGCTTAGTTTGTAGGATTTTTTTGCTTTAGAAGCATACTCGCCCTCTTTATAGGCTAGTCAGAAAGTGCTGTCTTTTTCAGATGTATATTTTTCGTGAAATTTCCAGATTAATTTTTACACGTCTGCGTATCAAAATTTCAACATGAAATTTCACAAAAATTAGACATCTGAAAAAGGCAGCACTTTCTGACTAGCCTATAAAGAGGGTGAGTATGCTTCTAAAGCAAAAAAAATCCTACAAACTAAGCCTAAATGTGAAAATCAAAATTTGGCAAAGTCGACACGATTTTTGTACATGTGGATGTGTGGCCTATGTTTACGGAGGCAGTCCAGTAAATAGGCCACATTTATGGGGCTACGAATACTATAGCCTGATAAGTGATAGCAGGCCGCCATAGAATATTCCCTAGCCTCTAGTCTAGGCTACACGTTTAATATTTACGTAGTGGCTATCGTTACGGCAGCCGTAACTCGATTTTCAACTGCTATCGTTACCGTATTGCAAAATCACCATTGCGAATCAACTTCACAAATAATAAATTTCCGTCTAACCAGAATCCTTCAGGAGCTTGATTGGTCATCTGGTCATGTTGGTTACATAAATACACATTCGACTACTTTACTCAAATTACTGCGCTGGAGTTCTGGGTTCGAAACCACTGCCGTGTTGCTTATTTGTTTTTCACTGTTAATTTTTTTTTTTTCTTTAGGGCCGATTTCATGTTTTTAATCAAATCGTTCTTTTTATTTTGTACACTTCTTTTTTTCTTTGTAATCTGTGGCTTTGGAGGATTTTGTTTTTAAAAGGGAAATAAAGTCCCAGAACCATTCGGTTGAATGATAGTCTGGTTCCAACAGCTGAAGATCCTGACGTTGAATAATATTAGGTCAGGGAACCAGACGGTTCCGTAACGATAGCAGTTGGAAATCGGGTCACGGCTGCCATATTAACGATAGCCACTGCAAAATATTTAACATATTGTTTCTCGTACTAAATATGCGCTCAACAGCATGATATTTGCTCATTTATTTCAAATTGTGGAGACAAATGTTTGTAAAAATTGAACATACTGATCTTTCTTATTGAATTTGAAACAAGTAATATTAGTTAATAAAATACATGTATTAATGCCAGTTGTTGAAACTGATCTTCATTACTTTTTAATTCAGTGGTCAAAATAATCATATCATTGCTTAAATAGTTTGTAATTGAACTTGTTGAAATGGTTGTGTTACCTTGAATTAGTTTTAAAATATTAGCTTTTTGGTCCCTATTGTATCATATTGGTGGCATCTGATTGGCAATTTCATGTAAACCAGCACTCGATGACTGGTCTATGCAGTTTACAGAGTGGCTTTGCAAACCACAAAATGACAAAGTCCCCAAAATGTATTCATATATATTTTGTCCCCAAATTCATTTATAATAAAATATAAAAATATGTATTCTTTTGTTTTTGTAGCTGTCATTATGATGTGAACGTGGCCTGGACTTCAGAGATAAGCAACAATCTGATAGTATCCTCTCCACTTGTTGCCGACATCAACGCTGATAATAAGCTGGACATCATCTCGCCTGCGTTCACAGAGGAAGTCGTTGGCCTTGATGGTGACAGAGGCCAGAACCTTTTGGGGTCAAACTGGCCAGCGAGCTTCCATGGCAGCTCATTCCATGCCTCACCTTTATTGGTACGATGTTGTCTTTATACAAATTTTAGTGGTAGCTGGGTCCTTCCTTGAAAGTGCAGCCTCATGTGTATGAGGATAAACGCACTGCCAGGAACACTGGGGCGAACCCCTTCTCTTCAATATCAATAAGTGTTACTGGGTTCTTTTACGTGCATTAAACAATACACGGGACCTACAGCTTTGCGTCCTATCCAAAGGACGAAGCAATAATGGTTAAGTGCCTTGCTTAAGGGCACAAGTGTCCACCCAGCGGGCTCGAACCCACGTCACTGTTGCCTCTGAAACACCAGAGCATGAGTCCGGTGCTCTTAACCGCTAGGCCACGACACTCCACCTTAACAGTGATGTAGTGGAGTCCTTCACGGTCATCACAAGTCCTCACAAAACCATCACAAGTCAACGCAAGACCTCACAATGTCATCTCAAGTCATCACAAGTTATCAAAAGTCTTCCAGTCTCAAGTCAAGTCACAAGCTGTTCAAATGAACTGTGACATTAGCATTCCTTTGTTATTGTTCATCCCCTGTTACTTGTGACTGGACTGGTGAATAGACATGTGATTCACTTTTGATGGGACATGACTACATGTATAACACTGCCATGTGAAGATGTACTCTAATTGTTATTTTGAGTTTCTTCTCCAAATGGACTTCTTTTTTTCTAACAATACAAGTGATTCACTTGTGACTGAAACACCGAAAAAAAGGTGGAAAGAGTTCCATACCTTGACATCACTTGACACCCTGTGCAAAAACCTATGAGACTGGTCTGAAAAATTCTAAGTGGTTTCTCAGTAAATGCTTCAATATTTCCCCTGCTAAATATGACTTTTTAGGACATTTTATCGCTTTTTGATTGCTAATAGGTTACTGTAGGGAAAAATGAGTGATGTCCATGTACTGGTATGTAATTCTTCCCAAAACAGGCATGCAACTTTTCCTCGGATCCGCTGATTTCCTCGTCTTTTTACTTCTCATGAATACCATTACAAATTGAAAAACACTGTACAAACTCTAGTTTGTTTTGGATTTCCCTGTGATTTCTAAATTCCCAGTTGCATGCTTGCCAAAAAGAATGTCCCACATTTAGTTACAGAATAATCACTTCACGTATTTCGAAAAGATTTGCTGCCTGACAATAAACCAGTTCTTCCAGGGTAGACTGGTTCTAATGTCCACACTGTAGGGACTGGGAACAAGTCTACTCACAAGGCAGATAATCTGTTAAAGAGCTTGGACATTATCTTCAAATATTATTATATCGTGGAGTGCCATGGCCTCGTGGTCTGGAAAATTGAATTCTTGGTCTGCAGATAATTTTGCAGGTTGTGGGTTCGAGTCCAGCCTGCGGCTATGGTGCGTGTGCCCTTAGGCAAGGTACTTTGTCACGCAATGCTTCTCTTCACCCAGGAGTAAATGGGTACCTGTGAGGGCAGATATGGTTATCATGGTTGCTTTAAGCTGCTTTGCGCCGAAATGGCAGTGTGGAGCAGTACACTCCCCAAGGAGCTGAGATTGTCTTTGGAATGTTTCAGTGGCCCAGTGAGCAGGGTAATAATGATGTAGCGCCTTGAGCACCAATACTGGTGGATATGTGTGCTTTATAAATACGCATTATTATTATTGTATTTCATTGTACAGTATGACATTGATAGCAATGGCAGAGAAGATGTCGTCTTATTCACATCCGATGGAGAAATTCACTTCTTGGACGCCCAAGGAAACAGGATGACGGATCGAACGATGCACGTCCCACCCCTAGATGTACAGAGAGATTGGTGGAATAAGACGACTGGCCTGAGACAAGACGTGATCGGCCAGTTTGTGCGAACATCTGTACCAGGAAAAGTATGTTGAAAATTGGGGTTTAACTTCACCAGCATAACTTCATAAGCAATGTTTAGCCAGTGCAGTCCGAATGCTTGGAAGGAAAAAGTCACAATCCTACTCGGTTGCGATTTGAACCAACGACCTCCTGCTTACTAGTTAAGACAATATTAGTTATCTTCAAGCAAACTTGAATCCTCGATCCTGATTGGTCGATCCATGGCAACAAGCCGTGCTACATATAACCATACCGCACGGCCACGGTCCATACCGCACTCCGCGTATTGCGCTATTCTAAGCCTACGTGACGCGATTAGTGCTGCACAATTCACTGTGAATTCAAAAGTTGCGCGTAGGTTACACAGCATGCGTGTTCCAACTTTACTGTGCGTCAAGTTTGCTTGAAGATAAATTCGTTATCGCGCTCGTGGAACACAGAAAATGTAGTGCGTTTGTGTCCCACATACCACTCGGCCTTCGGCCTCGTGGTATGTGGGACACAGACGCACTACATTATTCCGTGTTCCACTCGCGCTCGCAAGATAACTAATATTATCGTACCAGCCCGAGTGGAACATCAGAATAATATGGCACACAGGTACACTTCATTTTCCGTATTACATAAGCGCAAGTGGGATAGGGATTTATCTTCAAGCCAATTTGACGCACGGTAAAGATGGAACGTGCACTCTCTACACGAAACCAAAATGTACCACATACACGGGCACGTCAATAACAAGACAGTTCAACAAGGATTGAAATTTTCAACAATTTAAATCAACAAGTACCTCATTTTTAACATTCTCAAATTCAACGTATCCGCATTTTGAACATTAACAATGACAATGCATGTTATTTTCATGCCTGGAGACTGCAGACATTCTGTGTCCAAAGAGCATGGCAATTTTACACTTAAGTTTATTTAATGACATAGTGTGGGTTTTCAGAGAGAATTTAGTGCTTTCTATTGTACACATTCACAGTTAAATTTCTTTCATCTACCTTAACCCGAACCCTGCTGGGCACACAACACAGTGCGTCAGGTCCTAAAGTCTGTGGTACCTTTTTTTTTACATTGGGCCATCAACACCAGTGCATCAACTGCCAATTCTGAAACAATCGGAGCAGCTAGTCCCATTGAACAATGCCACAGTTGTATGCTGCTGCTGTTCGCATCGCATACTCTGAATCACTTCAGCCTTGATGTTTTTGATCTGATGGATCTTGCTACCCTGAGCAGGCTTCTCATTTGACAAGAGTTGCATATGTTGCGTTTAGCAGGGTTTAGGGTAAATCAATCTAAAGTATTACTTTTTCCCCAGCTACCTAACTACAACTCTGAAGATTCATCTAGCAATCAGCAGTACATCAGCGTGAATGCTCACGTGTTGGCCACACCAGTCATTGCTGATCTCAATCAGGATGGTATCACTGAAGAACTGATCATACCAGTCAGCTACTACTTCGACAATGAGATTAACAGGTACATGGTTCATTGCTATCTTTCATATCCAACGGTGCATGTGTTAAATATCACAGGTCATAGGTCATTCAGAATAAACATAAACAGAAATCTCCATGGCAATGGTTCTTTGTGGTACCGTCTGCAGTTGAGTTTAAAGGTATAGTCCATCATGTGTAATTTGTGCATTTTCTTCGTTTGAAGCAACAAAAGTGTTCAAAATCTAATGAAGGATACTGAACAAGTTTCAGCTCAGCTTCAGCTGTATATTTCGAGAAAAACAACATTCTAGGATCTCGATTTTAAATCAAAAGTTGCTGAATCATGTTTTGAATTGGGCCTGAATTTAGCGTCCGAGACACGTTCTCACTAGCTGACTGCAGCTACGCGATGTCACGCACCGATCCGACGAATTATAGCAACTGCGCGTGCATGTGTGTCGTGTCAGCGCTTGCGCGCGTTTCGCCTAATAAAAAAACGAACTACTAATGAAAATTTCCAATGGTGCTTCTTAAGACGCACCGTTGGAAAGGCCTTCTTTCGTTGATTTCTTCAAAATGACAGCTTGCCAGAAAGAATAATTTCACAGGGAGTTTAGTCCCCTTACTATCTTTCAACCAAGTATGTTTTTCAACAATAATCACGCCAGTTACTTTTTGGATAGCTGCAAATGATGGACTCTGGCTTTAAAGTAAGCAGCAACCTTCGGTAATTGTATGTGGTCGGACGTCTTTGTCCCAAATGACCTTTGATCTGGAGCTGAACTACTTCATTGCACAGGAATAAGCCTCTGTACCGATGACGTCACACATTGTTTACACGTGTGCTTTCTTATGGGAGCCTGGTGGGGACGACCGTTTAAGCGGCTCATTAAGTACCGAATTGGCTCATTTAATTTTTGCTTAAATGGGAATATGAGATAGTTAGCCCTTCACTGGTTGCCTGTGTTACTGGATATGTACAATAAAGATAGTGGCGCAGTCTTGGGTTTCAGGTGGTTATTTTATTACCGGTAGCTTTTGTATTTATAAATCACAAGGGGAATCTGACTAGATTCACTTTTAATCTTTAAATCAATATAAGGAATTTTTTTTTTAATTGAGTTGACTGTGCGATCCACGATTGTCATTTCTAAGGTTTGTAGCATTGCTACTGGCATCGTGCTGGTCAGCAACATGCTGGTGTACAGCTTCTGACTGGCACCCTATTGGCCTGTTATTTTGAGACATGGTGGACACAATAGGAGAGGATTTTTTGGTTTGGGTAAAATCTTTTTGTACTTACCCAAATTGACCCAAACCAAATGGCACCCTCCTATGTGCTGGGCCCAATTTCACGGTGCTGCTAAGCACACAATTTTCTGCTAACAGAGCCTACGTCTATTTCATGGAGACCGTAAGCATAAGCACAGCAAAAGGCACGCTTACTGCAGAGGAAAAATTTGCTTACTTAGTGACGTATCAATCGAAATCTTCATGCACGCGCGATCGTTAAGACATCCACGCCGTGAAATAGTGCTTCGGGTTAGCAACTTTTCCTGCTATGCTAAGCACAACTTGTCTGCCGACTGTTAAGCAGCCCCGTGAAATTGGGCTCTGGATAGCTCAGTAGATACAGCATTGATAAGGTAGTCCAGAGGTGACAAGTTCGAATCCCACTTCTGTTGATCTGACTGTTCAAATTTTTTCATGTTTTCACATCTTTGACTTTGACTTTGGACAGGTCGGAGGAAGAGCTTCGTGCACTGGGAGCATCTGAAGCAGACCTGCAGGGCTATTTAGCAGGGGGCATTGCTCTGTTCAATCTCACTACAGGAGAGCTGTACAAGGAGTTGATACTAGAACTCACTAAGGTATACGCATACTGTTATCCGACCAAATTATGGGCGTGTCTGAATTGATTGGCTACGGCCGGCGGTGACACACGGGTCTATGGCAAGTGGCTTCAGCCGCTTCCATAGATGCATATCTAATTGAAAGCCGTTGCCAAGTAATTTGGATGTGGCATATTCTTCTGGTACAGACCCTTTGCATTCGGCAGCCATCTTTGACCTGTTTTTTTTTGGTTACTGTCGGCACCCAATTTCATGAAACTCATCGTAACTTACAATGCATCGCAGCCCTGCGACTCGTCATATCCCTGCGATGCGTTGCTACTGCGATGCGTCCTGCGATCCATTTTACAAAACATGTTGTGAGTGCGATGTGCCGTAGGTGTATTTTATAGCACAACTCGGTGACTGTTTTATGTATTTAATCAGCGTACAGGAAATATTGTCTGATATTCAACAAAGAGTCGTCGGATCTCTTCTCGAAAAGTTTTTAATACGTAAAACAAAATGGTGGACATGTGATGCAATTTTAAAGGAAAACAAGCTCTCAGTGCTAATTCATAATTATTCAATGAATTTTCTATTTACAACTTTATAGTCTCATTTATGTATTTTTATGGCATAAAACTGGCTAAGAAAAGGACGCTTCTTATTTGCGATGACCACTAGACACGTCGTAACTTGGGACACTTACGAAGCGTTCAACACATCACAAGTTTCGTGAAATGGATCATCGCGACGTGTTACACGTCGTTACTTGGGTTGCGACGTGTCGCAGCACTTCATGAAATTGGGTGCTGGAACATTGACTGCACGCTATGGACTCCATGCACAAGTACCCCCTCAACGGAAATTATGGGAGCGTTGGCGGAGACAACTTGGGGATACATTCGTACGCACTGCCGACGACGCCTGACGCTCACGCGAAGACTCTATGGTTTTGTGCACATTCAGAATATAATGTGTCATGCGTACTTTGTGCTATACGCATGCGTACCAATACACACACACACACGGTGCGTCCCGTCCACGGGGCTTTTGAAAGTGGTAAATAAGCGCCCTCTCTTGTTGGCGCGCTGAGCCATGTTCCAAGTATCTGATCTCTGATTGTTAATATTTGACACACTTGAAAAACATCAGATACTAGACAAGACTAATGGCTGGTCAATACTTCACACGAATGCAATTGAGAAGCAAATTGGATGTCAGATGCATTTCAAGTAAAACTTCACTGCAATTGAAATTTGCTCGACTTTAAATCAGTTATAAATTATTATATATCCTCCAATCATACTAGACGCGAAAGCGAATGCGAACGCGAATGCGAATTTGTGATGTCAGGGCAGGTTTTGGCGCTGTGAATTCACAAAAGTTGAACAAATTACATGCTTCATGATGTCAAATTCGCATTGCATTTGCATTCTCATGCAGTATGAACTGGCCTTTAGGTGGGGAGACTTTTTCACAACCTGTCTTAGTAGTGCCCCCCCCCCCTTTAACAGTTTTTACAAATGGAAATATTTAGGCCACTTTTTTTCAGAAAAACTAACCAAATTAATCCCCCCCTGTACCCAACCAAAGCCTGGATACACTACTTCCCAAGAATCGACAGACATTTTACAAAACAGTTAGGATTTGTCCACAGAGAAATGATGAGTTTCCAGGCTACGTTCTGTTTACTCCGACCATCATGGATCTGGACAGCAAAGGAGGCCCTCTAGAGATCATTGTGGGAACATCGGCGGGCAACCTTCACGTCTTGGATCACACTGGTACCCCGCGCACTGGTTTCCCTCTGCTCCTCAGCACCTTGCATGGACAGGTACGTGCAGTTTGTAGTAATTGTAACAGGATCCAACAAAATTAGTAGTTTGTGGAGTAGAAGCACCTTCTATCATGTCCTCTGTAACCCGATGTTGTATGAGACAAACACGGCAGCTATTGTCCAATCAACGGCTTTGGCCGATTTTCTGCTCTAAATGACGTCACAAGTTCTTAAGGCGGCTTCAATTGGCTGGCGCTCAGGGTTATATGAATTTTGCATGCACCGATATATCAGATGTTTGTAGCTTGGCCTTGCACATCATGTGAACCTCTGATACTCAGACTACAGAAAGAGTCCTTAGGACTGTTTTTTCCCCCACTAACCGGTAGAAAGAACATTGTCTGGTCTTGGTTGTGACTCGGACAGCAATGCTCATTTGGAACATTTTGGCCGTTTTGAGATTTGGCGGACACCATATATTTCAACTGGCAAATTTCTGTATATATTTTCAATTGACTAGACCCTAGAGTTCTGTATGTAGGACTGCAACAATCAATCTGTCACTGTGGTCACACCTAACTGTTTCAAATATCAATTTTTTGTATAGTACTCAATACAACTCTTAAGTGTAATATGCTTCAGTGTGATTTTGGAATACCAGTCTGAACTGGAACTTTGAGCAAGAGGCTGTCAGTTTGGGTCCCACCATAGAACTATATTAAATTACTAGCGCTCTAACTCGCTGTACAAATGAAGCCTGCTGGGCGCATCCATGTTTATGCACAAACCTATGGAAAACTCAAAATTCAGTACGGCTTCAGTACGGCTATTTTGCATGTGTTTTGCAGTGCGTCATCGAAGCCGATACAGTCAAAACCAAAACGCACAATTAGTAAATGAGCGTTTCATTTTGCTCTGCGCAAATTGATGCAAATGCGTGCTTGTATGAGCTGCAGATGATTTTTGCTGTGACGTTTTTTAATCGTCATACTCACCGAAAACGTGTTTACGTTTTTTTGCTTATGTTGTACTTGCGCGTTGCATTTAGAGTACATATTCCGAAATGCACCCCGTGTTATTTTATTATGTTCCACAAACACGCACACCCAAACGTGTTCACACCGTCGATCATGGACGTCCTATTGTCCCTCTTTTGTTTGTACTTTAACTTTTTAGGAAGAGTCCCATAGGTTTTGTACACGACCCCAATCGCGGATGTATGCTGGGAATCGTGGACGATATTGTTCTCGTTTGTTATCTGGAATTTTTCGTCCACGGTTTGAAAAGATGAACACGCCCATGGATTCAAAATGTCTATGCCCAATACGGCTTCAAAGTATCTCCGTGTGGGGGAATGAGGAGCTAGCGTTCTAGTAATTTAAGATAGCTCTATGAGTAAGTTTGTTATTTCGTTTTCTTGCAATTTCCCAGACAGCACTGAGTATACCTGCTAATGAATTAACATCGGTTAAAAGCAAATGCCAACATTCAAACCTTCAGACTGGTCAAGTGCTTTGATGCATAACGCTTCATTGATGAGGAAAGTCAGTCAACTGTGTCAATTTAATTACCTCAGGTGAATAGGCCAGTGGCCTGTCACCTCATAAGTGTTAGGTCAAGGGCAAATTCTTTATCACTGCATAGCAAAGGAAAAAGATTTTCAAGAAATTAGGGCTGCGTCCATGTATGCAGCACCACCTCAATATCAAAAACTAAAGCCATAACAGATTTTTGTGTGCATGTCGTGTATGTTTTCAAACAGGCTGGTTTTTATGTTTTCTTTGTTTTTGCTGGTAACAGAGGGCCAGACTAGTGTCCTCTTTGCACCTAGACCTCACTGACTGACTCACTCACTAACTGTCACTGTCAACTGTGTGCTGGGCAGTGCTATCGTATAGGATTACTCGGTAATAACATGTACGATTCAGCTATAAGAAAAACGCACATCATCTACAAAACAGCAATGAATATATGTACAAAGCACTATCAAACACACACATTCAAAATGCATAACAGATTCACTAGACCTCAGCATGCTGAACCGAAGTGGCCTCCGCTCAGAGCAAGACCTAAAAATACCATGCACATTCAAACACGCAGGTGACAAGGCTTTTTCTGTTGCAGGACCTAGATGTTGGAACTCACCCCCTCTCAGTGTTCGTCATTGTCAATCCATCCTTTATTGTACTTCTATTGTTCATTCCCCTCCTGCTATGTTTCATTAGTTGTACTTTCTGGAGTTGTTCTTTTGTAGTGCATTGTAACCTTTGGAAAAATGCGCTTTATAAATGCTTGTATACGTGTAAAGGTACCACTGAGGAGACACGTTATCGTAATTTCTTCGCATTATGGGAGACATCGGTCATTAGGGAGACATTTTCATGTCTCCCTAATGTCACAGCCCCCCTTTAGAGGCACAATTTTATTGTCGCAATTAGGTTATATTTGTTGCTCCTGGTCTTATGAGTAAACATACCGAAATTCGTGGGAAAATTCTATGCACAAGTCTATGGGGATGTCTCCCAAATGTCCAATCCAGGGTAATTATTATCCCCTCTGCAGACTACATGCATGTAAAGACTTCAAGTGATTAGCCATAGAATAGAATTGTGTGCACTCTGGGATGAGCATTACCTAGGCTTGCCTGTCTCCTCTTTAGATCACAGTTGAAGACCTGAATGACGACGGGCACCTGGAGATGGTTGTCATGGATACCAGCTCCAATGTCATGTGTCTGGATGTGACAGGGCATGAATTATGGGATAGCCAGATTTCAGGTTCGTCGTCAGCAGGTTCCAGGGTGGCTGATATCAATCAAGATGGCATCCTAGATATTGTCATAGCAACCAATGACGGGTATGCTTCAATGTTTTTAAATTTCTATGGAGAGGGCATCTGAGTAAAACTAAATGTGACCTTTGACCCTGTCAATCATTTGTATGTTCTTCCTATGGGCCTTATGCACGAGTCAGCCATATTGAATTGAGAGTGAGGTAAAATCTTCATTTTTGGAACTTGCGAAGAGAAATGAAAGTAAGTAAATTATTAATTAATTCAAGTCTGCTTCATTGAATGTTTTAATTTGCAATTAAACATTCCCTAGTGTTTTAAGCCAGATTTAAAAATAAAATGACAGTAAAATAAGACTGCATAAATAGTCTGGCGCCATCCCATTCAAGAGACACTTTATGAAATACATTCACGGAACACGACAAAAATGGCCAACTCATGCATAAGGCCCATCCTAAAGGTTTTAAAAATATAACACTCAGTAGTTGAATTTCTGTCAAGTCTCCCGTGAGTGGGTTTCATGCATGGCGTACGCACCAAGTCTCGTGCATGCGCGCGCATTGTATGTTCATATGCGCATAGGCCGTTATCATGCATCTAACCAAACCGTTTTGTACACTTTGTACACAAGCTTAGATGAGAAGTTTATCCTTGTGCAGAGGATCTGTGCGCAATGCAACCAACCTTGAGCAGTAAGGTCATCCTCCGTGGCAAAGCTAAAAGGAGGAGGAGGGGGGGGGGGGAGGGGCACATGCCGCCCAATTGCAGGCCTGTGCCCCTTCCCGTGCCCCTCATCTCCCCGGCACCCCTCATCTCCCCGGCACCCCTCATCTCCCCCCGCCCCTTTGCCTCACCAAACAAATATATTAGTCAACAAATGAAGCATTGTATTGTTTGAAAGTTTGACTAAAACCCATTGCGTGTCCCCCCCCCCCCCTCCAGAAAATGATTCCTCTTCATAGTGCCCCCCCCCCCCCTGCAAATGGAGTCCTAGTTATGCCACTGCTCATCCTAAATACAAAACTAGTCTACCATTGTTGAGTGATGTGTGTTTAATGATGGCAAGTTCAACTGTGGTCAGCCATACTTCTTTATATCAAGCTCACTCCAGTGTGCCTGAATCTGCCTCTCATGAGTAAACCACACAGCGCTACCCCACCGGTCACGTGCAGTTCCCGAGCATACAAAACTAATCTTACTTTTCTCTTTCAGGCATATCTGGGCATTACGAGGCGACACAGGCAAACTGATTGACGGCTGGCCGTTAGCTCTGGGAGGCAGGTTTCTAGCCAATCCACTCATTGCCAGGCTCAAGCCCCCACCTCAACCACTAGACATTGTAAGTTCAAATAATTCCAAAGTTACAGCTTTGCCTTGACAGTAGGTGATTGATAAGCCAGCTGTACCTACCAGTTATTTGCTTTCGTCTGTTGATGAAATTTGACTAGTCACAGTGCTTGCTGGAAATATGATCGGATTGTTAGTGACTAGCCTGTGTATAGAGTCATGGCAAGGGAAGAGGATTGATTTTTTGACTGTCTGTGACTGTTAGGACAGCATTTGTTTTCGTTTAATGCGTACCGTTTGGTTTATGAGATGTTCTTGAACTTAGGAAGAAAAAAGAATTTTCAAAATAGTACTCACTTTTGTGAACGGTCTTGATTGACAAAAGCAACCAATTCCCTTCCAAATGGAGAATGAATGAAGAGTTTCTTTCCAAAACGCAATAAACACCATTTTCTTACCTTAAAGAATCCCGCCAACTCCTGGCTGCCCAAAAGTGAGGGTTTTTTTTGCTGTTTAACACTATTGACCTATTGCTGTTTGTGAGTTAGCCCCGCCCCTTAGACAACCCTATGGAATTTTCTACGTTAAGTTTTGTTTGTCTTAGATTTTGCGCGTTCTGTATCCATTTGTATATCATGTAATTGGACAATATATCACAAGCTGCGTTGACGCGATTCTACCGCGATGGGTCAATTTAAGAATACATTTAAACAAAAAACAAAAAAAACCAGCTGTTTTATACTGTGCGTGTTCTATAAATTTTCATAACTGTGCAACTTTTTCACTTGTTTCAGTATATCGTATTTTTGAAACAAACTCTTCAAATATCGAAAGAATTGAGAGTTTTTAAATGCGCTTGAAGTGGTTGCAGGACTACAGATGGTTAATTATAAAAGTACAAAATGTTTCGATACACCAGGGGGGCTTATATTTGAGTGCATGCATTGTTTTATATTATGCGGCTCTTTCAGTAAAGTGACAACCATTAACCCTAACTCCCTAGCGTCTTTTACTAGGAACTGAACCAAGTCCATCAAAATCCATCAATCACTGTGCGTCCAATACAAAACTGTACATGACATAATGGAATCCACCACTGACGCACTGGTTGACATTCATGGACTTGCTACACGTGGCTTTTATCACAATAGCAGTACAGGAAGCTAGGCAAAATCAATCAGATATCCCTAGCACTGCTTCAGGCCATTAGGCCCAAGTCCATCATACTCCATCAATATTGAGTCACGCCAGGCCTTCTGGACCAAGTCCCCCAAAATCCACCAAAATGGGGGGATGGATTTTGATGAAGTTGGGGTGATTAGGGTTAGGGTTAAAGTGGTTAAACGGCAAAACAAGTTCAGTTCGAACACTCACAATATTACATGAAAGGTCACAGCCCTTAGTATTTATATTTTTTTCTTGTTTTTTTTGTACCTTGCACTAGATAATTGCAGACTATGAGGGCAGTCTTTACATCATATCTGGTGACGCCGCCTGCCTCGAAGTCATTCACTTGGAAGAGAACATCATGACCCCGGTATTAGCCGCTGACCTCATACCCACGACCTCTGACCTGGAACTGCTGCTAGCCACCAGCGATGGCACGCTGATGTGCCTGAAGACGCATAACGATACAGGGAGCGAGGAGGTGCCTGAGCATGGGAGGAGCGAGAGGGCGTGGTCGATTGAGGCATGGCACGCTGACACGCCCACTTATAACAAGTTCACCAACTGGGACAACAAGGTATGTTGGTATGGCTCCATTCATTAACCCTAACTTCCTACGCATTTTTGCTAGGATACAACCTCAATCCTGCAAAATCCTTCGACTACTTCCAAGTAAAAATTGCATACAGCCTCAATCCTGCAAAATCCTCTGTTATTTCTTGAATCTGGTCCTTGGAGGGGTGACCACTGCCTCAATCCTGCAAAATTCTCCAGCAATCACTGTCGATATGTTGAAGCAGAGCCAGTGACATCCTGGAGCAGTGCGGAGGATTTCAAGTATAATCTAGGCCTAAATGTATGCACGGCTGAGCAAAAAACAACACAAGGTCCAGCCCAAGACCTTGACAAAGTGCATCCTCCAAAATCAGCCACACAATTTTGCCATATAGCATCAATTCTACAAAATCCTCCGTTTTGCAAAGAGGATTTGGAGGATTTGGGAAGGTTAGGGTTAAAGAAGCCACAGTTCTTATTAAGCCTCTTTCAATACAGTCCATTCTGTGCATGATCCTTTGTTCTGCTGCCTCCATGGCCATCCTTGATCTGAAATCCCTTTTTGGAGTACAGCAATTCTAAACTGGCTTAGTGTGTGGCCTGGTAGATTGAAATTGTCAGCAACCGGTTTTGTGTATCTTTGTTCCTGTTGTCAAACTTGTGACCATTCATGGGTTGTCTTAGTGACTGTCCAGTTTGTCCAATGGTATATAAGTAATGAATGTTTCTGAGTGCAATGGTGAGAATACTTTCATGAGTTGAAAGATTGAATGTTTCATTCAATGAGGTGACTGAATGGAACATGCCATCTTTCAACGAATGAAAATATTCTCTCCATTGCACAAATGCAAAACATTCATTATTTGTTTTGCATAACATCCATGTAGATCTTTGTCATTCGATTGGAGGATATAACTATAAGAATAAACAAAATGCAAAATGTTATTCCGGCATCCACTATTTTGTTTCCAGCTTGTTCAAAGTTAACAAAGGTTTAAAAGTCAAAACATTAAATATATGAAAGTGAATACTGCAAGTTCTTAAAATAATGCACAAAAATTCTGCAAGCCAAGTTCAGTTCGTAACAGTGCATCCACTTCAAAGGCAAGATCTCTTTGTAATTGCATGCATCTGCTTCAAATACAAGTTTTGCACTTGTATAAAACACATGATGTGGTGTAGCGCAAAGATCGCCACGCGATCTGATCTTTGTTCAAGTGCCCACTCATGCAATAGATCAAAAAGGATGGAACGAAAATGCACGGTGAATGGAACCAAAAATGAACCGTTTGTGACGTAGGCCGTGCAATGGCTCAATTAATGAATGCCGCGTGACCTACAATCCTCCAATCAAATTACAAGGGTTTTCTTGGTTGTTTTATAATAGCAGCTATTAGGCATTGTTGACCCTCATGTTAATGTATCTTTCCATGCCATAGGTTGGTGTCAAGTTCACTGCAGGGACAAAGCAATTGGAGTATGTGTCTGGAAAATCTTTCCTTGTTCAATTTGAAATCTTTGACAACAGACCTGAATATATTGAAGACTCAACATACCATGTACAGGTAAGTCCATCCAAACTACAAAGCTTCACAGTATAGTTTTTTAGGGTACCGGTCTTCAGTCATCTACAGGGTGGTGCAAAAAGAAGGAAACCCACTTTTGACGGCAATTTTCACCTACTTGCTGCTGAGCATATTTCAAAAATTCAATTTAATGATAGTAACATATTGATCTTTAAACGTAAGTGACAAAAAGGTGATTGCAAATGCGTATTGTCTCTGAGATATGGTACTTTAAAAATTGCACATGGCAAACCTGTTTGTCCACGGATGGCTTTATTCCATCCGCTTGACTGAGCTCTGGAGCTTGATTTTAAGACAAAAACACTACACTAGACTTACACGTGGACAATAGTGATTTTGGTGACTTATATTCAAATTAGCATAATAACACTATTCTTGTGCTGAAAGATTTTTTTCACCACGTATGGTTGAAGAGCTATAGTTTACTACATTATGCAAAAAAAACCAGTTCAAATAAGCTAAGTAAGTAGGTTACAATTCCTGTCAAAAGTGGGTTTCCTTCTTTTTGCTCGTCCCTGTATAGCCTATTGACTTTAAACTGGTTGTATACTGGTGAGTTCCAGGAAGTGCTATCATATAGGAATACCCCGTGTCACCAATGCATGGGCTCAGTCCAGCCCATTGTTTAGACGAGATATATGAAAGACTTTCGGTGATAAGCCATTCTGAATCAGTCGAATAGAATTGTGTGTACCCTGTGACCAGCTTGCTAGGCTTGCCATGTCTTGTGTACATCACATAGCATGGTGTTTCTATTGACCAATCCGGGCATATACTATCAAGATTATCGCAGAGGCCCCCTGCAGTGGTGAAAGTATTGTGCTAGCTGTTGTTCAGGATAACTGCCATGGATCACAGGGGCGGATCCAGGAATTTTTGCAGGGGGGGGGGGGGGGTTTCATCAGCCAAAAAAATCTAAAAATGTACACAGGTTTTTTTTCTCAAAAACGGGGGGGGGGGGGGGGGGGGGGTTCGCATTATTTTTTAGGAATTTGTATGATAATTTTTTTTTTGACAGAGCTTGGTTTTCTTTTTAACCCCCCCCCCCTCGGATCCGCGCCTGGAACAGTTGCTCTCTACAATAGCTAGCAGTGTGCATGTATCAGTCACTGGTCAACCTCGTCCCGAGCAGTACGCGCCCACCACTACCTGCTCTCTCACCCTGGTATTGGATCATTTGCATGTGCAAGATTTTTGAACACATATGCAAATGAGGAATAGTCTGGTGCCTGCCTGTACGTTACATTTGCGTTTGTTTTTGTATGCGGTGTCTGGGGTAAAAACAGAATCAATTCGTCGCAGCACGAGCATGGCGTGACTTACTAAAACACAATTTTATTTTAATTAAACCGTTTCGATCTTATCGAGACAACATGCAGTATCGCATTTCATATTAATATGAACAAATTGGAAAGAAAATGAATATTTTCGAGAAGGCATTAACGAATGATCGCAGTATCAAATCAGGATACAGGAAGAAAGTTTCCTATCCAGGGCTTACAATTGGAAATGATGTTGGATATAAAGTAAGCACTGGGGACGAGGTTGGTCACTGGTGTGTTTCCTTCACTTTTTCTCATTTGCAGGTTATAGCACCCTCTGGAGTCCAATTTGAAGAAATTTTGTGTAATTTTATTTTTCCTTGTACAAAACCAGTTCTTAATTCAAAGTAACTGTTTCTATTGGCAATGCAGATCACGTGTGGAAATATAATCTTGCTGCCTAGGACGATTTTACTAGAAACTGGAATTCATCGGATGAGAATACAAACACCCAATCGTCCAATCAGAGCAGTCCTCACTGTCCATGTGACCAATAGGCACGGCCAGATGTTCCAAGACTCATTTGCAATAAGGTATGAATTATTTTCCAATTTCAGTGATTTTTCCTCCCTATGCATCACAATTTTGGTTTAAAAGCTTAAAAATCTGTGCTGAGCTAATCAATATTCTTAGCTGCTTCAAGAAATTGGCCAATCAGTGGTGTAAACTGGGTCCAGTTTTGGGGGGGGGGGGGTCACTTAGGGGTGTAATTTTCTACAATTTTAACAATAAAATCTCTAATCATAAGATGGAATTCTGTGTCGGGATGATGTAAATTCAATATTGGTATTGCCCTTCACCGATGTATAATGAATTTCACCGATAATATAATGGAATGCCCAATATGGAATTTACGTCGCCCTGACGCCAAATTCCATCTTATGATTAGTTTGGTGTTGGTACCCGCCGCTATATCAGATTCGAACCAGCCAGCTGACCCAGGCAAGCTCGGTGGTCGAGTGGTAAGACATCTGCACTAGTAAGCAGGAGGTCGTGGGTTCGAGTCCCACCCAAACTAGTAGTTTCAATGCGGCAGGTACCAGCACCAAACTAATAGTTTTGATGTTTTTCTCACAATAACTTGAGACAACACTGTTATGTGCATACAGTGTTTATGAAAATACGTCGGTGAAGGGCACTTGTTAAATATTAAATAAAAATCTCATTTTTTTCTTTCCCCATTTCCGGAGGTGGGGAAGGGGAGAGCAGATTTTGTCTCACCTGGACTTTGTTCGGGAAAGAGACTATGCAATCACTATGTCTGAACGTATATGTAGTATGTATGTATGTATGTATGTATGTGGTATTTTGGTTAAAGTTCGGAAAATTGGTCTCATTTCAACAGTCCAATCGGAATCAAACTCGGGTCATAGATGCAACATGGCAACCTTCACATGATAATGATGTCAAGGGTCACTCATTAAAAATGATCGCGAAAGCAGGCGAGACGCGCGGTTCGAGAAACGACTTGTTCGTGAATCACTCAAACTGCAACATACATGTACTTTGTAATGAAATATTCCTGCTTCCAATTTTATTAAAATGTGCTGTATTGAATTATTGAAACATTTCTGTTTTAGCCTCTGAAGAAGAACTTGCTAAGTTCGCAACGTCAGGCCACATTAGTTTTTAGATTTATATATTTCAGGTCCACCCAGTCAGTAAGCAGTTTGCAGCAGTCTTACTTTTTTTCGTATTGAATTTAAATTAAATTCATCACGTTTTCAATAAAGAGAAATCACAAAACTATTGCAGCTGTCACGAAGAAGTATCAGTATCAAGTGTAGATGAATTCATAGTAATTAAAATGAATGGAGGTATTAATTAACAAAAACTTATGTTTCTCTTTAAATTATAACAAAAATTAACAACCCACAATGTGGCTCAGACACAGTGTCAGAGCCAACTAAATCTCTCATTTCCTGCGAAAAACACCACATTGGAAATAAATGCCTTGAAAAAAAAACTCAAATGAAATTGCATTTTATATCAACAGCAATGATTTATTTACTTTGTTACTATGACACAAAGCCTTACCTCAACCGGAACAATTACCAAGGTTACTGGTTATTAGCAAGAATTTACCGACTAGCCCCGATATAATTCAATATTGACATTTTAATCATAGTTTGTTTGATCAACCTTCAGGCTGCACGTCCTGATCAGGGAAGAAAAATATCGCCATGGTAATTAAGCCTTGGGAGTGATTCAGCCAGAAACCTTCATTTTTTTTCTTTTTTAGAAATGAGGTTTTTACCCTTAATTAGTCCAATCCTTGTTCGCTTGGTGAGCACATGGACGAAATTATCGAAACCGTTCAGGCATGCTGCTCGGGCGACATTGGAAATATTATGACAACATAAATCAATATTTGAGTTGGTCCAGTGCAAAAAATAGCCGTACTGCATGCGGGAGGGAAAATGGATAAAAATAACAAAAATATAATATTACTGATTTGTTTTGATTAAGAACTAATTTGTGCCGTTGTATATTCAACAGAACTATGACACAGCACTATACTAGCACAGAATCCATAGTGGAGTTTTATTGGGAAAATTCTGTTAGGATTGCAACTTTAGGTCATCTAATTTTGTTGATTTGTAGATTTCAGGTCAATCCAGTCAGTAAGCAGTTTGCAGCAATTTTATTAATTTTCATTTACAGTTTAAATATCAAATGCATTTCTAAGCTTGACTAGCATTTGACCAAACTGTTTGCTTTTCCTTCATTTTCATGATTCATTCTGTTCTCAATTTGTCTGTTCCAGTTTCAACACAAAGTTCATCCAGGAACTCCAGTGGTTGTTATTTGTTCCATTTGTTGCCATGGTGATGCTACTCCTTCTAGTTCATGGCTATCCAGAGGTTGACCTTTTACCTATGACCCAAAGCTTCAAACATAGGTGAAAATGACCCAAGGTACTGTTTTACAGTGTGTTGCAGTGTTGTAGGTCTCGAGACCGTCTCGAGACCTTTTTTTGTGGTCTTGGTCTCGGTCTCGGTCTCATCCTATCAAAGTCTCGGTCTTGGGAGGGCTGGTCTCGGTCTCGAAAGCTCTTGTCTCGGTCTCGGATGCCAAAGTCTTGGGTTTTACCCCGAGACCTGTCGAGACCACAACAAAATGCACCATTCACGTATGGCTTTATTCATTTGCAAGCTGAATTACGTACAAGTCTAGTCTTTATTCCAAACATAAAAGAATTTGGTAAATGTATGTTTTCATGCTGAAGAATGAGATAGAAGCTGGAATAAAGACCAGTCAATTCAGCTTGTCAATTCAGTACCTGTGCACAGTTCAGTATTTCACTCATACACATTGTACTGTCCTAGACGTGACCACCAATGCCTGCACGTGCAAATGTAACATGTTCTTGTGCTTCATTTCTGACATTTAGTGAGTATTTGCTAGACTTTGCGCTCAACAATAAGCCTTCTGCAAGTAAAGTTTGACCTTTGTTTGCAGTAAGTTGTACACCGACTTCACCAAACTTTGTTGGCTGCAATTTAGGCAGTAATTTAAAGGGCCTAATTTTGAAATCGGAATTCGCCTGACTGACAACATTTTAGACACTGTTTTTTGGGGCAATTAAGGTCTTGCATAGTTTGTTAGTTAAATTTACATTAACCCTAACCCCGTAGTACTTCCTCAGGACTACCCTGCTAAATCCAACAGAGTCCAACCGGACTTTCCTGTTCAATCCACTGTGCCTCATTTTCAGTTGTCTGCTGAATCCAACGGAGTCCAACAATGCGTTATAATGTGGTTCAGTTGCCTGCTGAATCCAACATTTTGCATGAGGAATGTACACAAGGGGTTAACTGCTCAATCCAACAGGCTCCATCGGGTATGTGACAGTTGGATCCTGTTGGATTCTGCAGGATTAGGGTTACAAATCAATCAACAGGGTACCGGTAGAAAACTCATCCAAAATATTTTAAAAAAAATTTCAACCTGCCAATACTATATTTGGAAATGTAACTTTTTTTTTTTCTTTTTTTTTCTTTGTGCTTGGTCTCGGTCTTGGTCTCGGTCTCAGAAGTCTTGGTCTCAGTCTTGGTCTCGGTCTCGGCCTGCAAAAATCTCGGGCTCTGAAGTCTGGTCTCGGTCTTGGTCTTGGTCTCGAATGCCTCGGTCTCAGTCTTGGTCTCGGACATGGAGATCTCGACTACAACGCTGGACTGTGTTGTTTAAAAGTCCACCAGTTGGCAATTTCTGTGATTTGAGGTTTGCACCTTATAAATAATATTATATTATGCCTTGGGCACTGTAATTTCTTTGATGTAAAATGATCTTGTGATAAAGACTTATGTAATATAATTTTGCTATGCAGTTTTTGAAAATGTACCTTTTTGTCCAATTTAATTTCATATTCAATCTTAATTTTTCCATTTTCAAGGGTGCGCCTTTGGGTTTTTTATGCTCATTAAAATGTCTGTATTCATGAGCAAATTTGTGATGTCAAGGTTGACAGAACTTCAGATTTTTTGTAGTTCCAGTGCTCATTAAGTCAATTTGCTCTTTTCACACTCTGCCATAGTCATGCAGAGCCTCGATCTGGCAACTTTACACAATAAAAATAGCCGGTTCAGTGATCTGAACCCCTACACGGGAATCACTGAACCGGCTATATTTATTGTGTAAAGTTGCCAGATCGAGGCTGTGCATGCCCATGGCGGAAGTGTGAAAAGAGCGAATGAGCAAACTTTACGCACACATCTTATCAATGAGCAACAAATGTGGGTTCACAATTTGAACAGAAAAGCCCCGTTTTGAAGAGAGTGTGCCTTAAATGATATCACAGCAATGGCGTCCTCAGTTGTCAGAAAAAGCATGGAATATTTTCAATGTTTTAAAAACTGCACTTTATAAAGAAGGGATGTCTCATAGTTTTCATACATTTCAGAGGAATGGATATATGCACAAATATGTTCCAGTGTGTTGCAGTGTAAAGTTCATGTCAGTTTATAAAAAAAAAGTAATGTGATATCATTTAGGTCTCTAAGATAGGCAAAGTCATCACAAAGGTGAAGTGTATGGACAACTCACTGAAATGTGTAGAATACATTTCCATGTTTGTTGGGAAAGCTCACAGTGATCAAATATTACACTTGGATGATTGAATACCTTTTTGGGCAAACTAAGTAACAACTTGTATCTTTTGACAATATTTTTGGCACGATATGAGACATAGAGTTTTTTTTTACATTCAGAGAAAACACATTGCAAAAGACTTGATGTTGACTGTAATGATAGGTCCAAAATTAACGACAATGAGGTGCACCACTTTATTACAGTAAACAGTTGTCAAATATGTCCTTTTACATGGCTCAATATATGATCATGTGGTTAATGTTTTTTTTTTTTTAATAATCAGTTGACTTCTTTACATCTATGTGTACGCGTTAAATCATTTCAGTGTTCCCATAAGCGTTTTTTGACTTTTTTCTGCAACCACTTATGACTGCATAATGCATACACAGTTGGCACAAAGGGAACCTTGAAAATTAAAAAAAGAATACTTACATCCAACAATTTCTTTTAGCTGATTTGTTAAGAAGCTCTTTGATGGGGCCAAAATTAAGCAAAATGTCCAGTTCCACCCCCCCCCCCCCCACCAACCAACACAAATATAATATTTGAAATTTGATTATGTATAGTCCAAAAAGATTGTCATCTACTTTTAGGTGACTGAATAAACCATAGTTGGTAATCAATCTGAACATTGTGTGTTATGTTTTTTCATGTTATATTCTGTGACCCAATTGCCCCCCAGAACAACATTATGTTACTGCTTTCTACTTTTGCAATAAGTTAAGCTAGTTACAGTAGGCCTACTTTTTGTGTTTCTTTAGGTGTGAAACGAGTGGATGAATCGTTTGAAACAATAAATGCCTTTATCTCGATATGGAATATTAAATCAAGTGATGTATCGGGGTAGGGTGGGGGTGGGGATGTCTGTGCCTCTGCAACCTCCCCTCTTTAGAATTTGAAGAAGAAAGGAGATTTGTGTCTGTTGAAACAATCACAAAACCTACGTTCCTACAAAACATTAGTACCCAAAGGAGCCCCCTGTAAATTGGACGCCGCTACTTAAATCTCCCAAGGTACCTAATAATGTAGACAACATACATCTATACAGCCCACTAGTTTACCCAGCCTGCAACATACTACCCCCCCCCCCGAGTCCATGTACTCTAACATATAATACATTATTGAGAACTTAAGATCACTGCACGTCTCTGATGGAACTCTCTGAATACCGAAGGTAAATTGTTTGATGAATAATAGATGCTTATGAGGGATTACCGTGCCAAAGTGTCTAAATACACCCAATCTGGTGCGCTCGGCTTGCGAGTGTTTCAACTGATTTATTTATGGGGCTCTGCGGCGATTTTGTCGGTACGCGTGGACAATGTTTCTGCTGCTACTGTATCGGTGATTTTTCTCATGCCTGAAATGGTATAATCTTCACACTGAACTTGTTTCCTAGACAACCGTTTTTTTATGAGATACAATTCAAGTTGGTAAGTCCATGTCATGGGGGACCCTCAACCATTCTTTTAAATTCCAATGCATTTTTTTATTAGCCTTAAAAGTTATTTTATTTAGATTTTAAAATATACCGCAAAAGGAAACTTAATAGGTGCATAATAATTTTAAGTTGAAATAAATCGAAACCAAACAGATTTCAACCAATATATTGTGTTTCAGTGTAAAATTCATGTCATGGTCCCATAAAACTAGAAGTGCGATTGTATACATGGGAAATGTAAAAATATGTTACAGGGAAGGAAAACGAAACTGAAATCTCGAAGAAAAAAATGCTTGTGCCTCAATTATAAATGTAAATTTGTCATTTTTTAATGAAAACTGTTTCTTTGCATTATCATAACTGTCAAAACTGAGACACGCACTTTGTGAAGCCACATTCCATTAACAAGGTGTGAAGGCTGGTTTACACATTCACGCCAGCGGCGATCCGAAGAACAAATTGACGTCACGAAACATTTCCTTGTAAAAAAAATAATGCCCCAAGGGGGAATGTATTCAATTAATGCGAACTTTTAGCGCGAGAATGTCGCTATTGACGTCACAACTTTGGCTTGATAAAGTAACCATGTGCACCATGTATATGGATTCGTTTCACTTCATCAAAAGTATCATATTTCCTCGCCTTCCACCGTTTGATCCGGGTTCGATTCCTGCCTGGGCCAATATGTGGATTGGGCCAGTCCCTGTCTCATTCCGTGGGTTTTCTTCAGAAAATTCTTCTGGGGTTTTCCTCCCACATCCAAAACTGTAATTTCTTATGTCGTTTCCTTATCAGTAATTGGACAGCCGTAATGACCCTTTGTGCTCAGTGTAAACAAAACAAAAAATATCTTGCCAAAGATGCCTTTGCATTTTCTTAGTGAAATAAACGGCAAAATATGAAACACTCGCAAGCATCCAACCATAGCATGACGCACTCCATATACCTGTCATATCACGTCGTATCCCCAACGGTGACATTTTCAAAAATAATCGCATTTTGGATTCTAACCGGCTTAACAGCACACCGATGCCATCCAGTCATGTTCGCTCGACTATTCCATTAAATTAATTGCCCGCACCCTTGGAAGAGAGAAATTCAGCCACAGATTTAAGATTTTGACGAAGGGAAAGCCGTTCTGGCCTTTCGAAGGTGTGAAGATAAGGACATACTTAACTATATTATGCATGTGGACCTTCAACTCACAGCTTGGTACAGGGTTGCGGAACAGTAAATAGGCCAAAAATAGCCTCCCCGACCAAATCTCGATTTACACTTACAATTATTTGGCCCAATGAGGGATTGCATAGCAATGGAGAGTTCCTAGTTCTGAAGCGGACTTTGGACTTGAATTCCTGAGAAACTTCTGCGATTATATTGGACCCGAAAGTCGCTTTTGTTAGCGATGGAGCGGATTTTTTTCTC